CGAGAAAGGTTTGAACCCTCGACACAATAAAATTACAAAGATTGCACACGCACGAGCGTATAATTTACGAATAAACTTTTAGTGGCATAATTTCATGACAAAAACAAGAAATATAGAATCACACCTTTACAAAGAATGAGCAGAACACGAATGGAAACCTTTACAACACACACATATGAATGAATACATATAATTTACACCAAAATTGAGACTCCGGAATGATTACCCTAATCTCCACTGGAAATTCCCTTGGAAAATTAAATGTATCTAAATCTATGATATTCTGTTTACATAGCACATGAAACTAAAATTTCAATTTACAGTCTCCTGCTTCAAAGTATTACAAGCAAAGAAAAAAATGTGTGTAAGTGCACTACTCTCATTTACAATTTAACTGTGATTGAAAATAACAGAATAATAAATGTCCTAAGTATAATATTTTATGCAGGCAATAGTGCGTCCAAATGTCTCCTACTATGATACTGCAATTCGTTGCCAACCGTGTCCTCAATTTCTTAACACTTTCCTATACTAATTTTTCCCTGCCGACGTGAACTTGACCTATTTTTCGCGCTCTAACCATTACCTCGTGGACTTCCCACTTTTGGCCTTGATGGTCTTGCGCTGGTCTGTGTCGTAAAGAAACGGGATTCGCCTCTGCCGTCTACGCTGTCTTCTTGCGTCCTCTTCCGGTCTTCTTCCTCCTCGGTCTCTACTTCTTCCTCGTGCGCCTGGGTCCTCGGCCTCTTCTTCTTCCTCGTCTGCTACCGGCGCCTCTGACCACGCCCACGTTGCGAAAATGTCCCTTGCACTTCACCGAATACTCGTGCAAGTTCCTCGCTCGTTGCTACTTCTACTTTGCTAAACCAGAACTTTCAATGCTTCTCTCACAACGGGTAACTTTTACTTCCCGTGTCGTTAATTGAAGGAATACTTTACTGAATCTGCACTATCTCGCGGACGACTGACTAGAACGTCTGTTAGACGCCGAATACTCCTACCTAGTAGCCGTTGCAGCGGCAAACAATATCTAAACTAATGTTAACGACAGTGTAGGCTCGGCGAGCGGTGATCAAAGTGCTGCTGGCTCGGCGATCGGTGGTAAAAGAGAGCTTCCGCTTGCAGGTTCGCGTATATATCGCCCGACGCCTGGGGAAATTTTTCTGTGGTGGGGCTGCTTCCCCTCTCTCAAACCTCCACAAGGAAAACGTTGCTTGCTAGTTCGCTACCGTCTAGTACGGGCAACGGATACCAGGCCGCGCGTTTAAGAACCTCTGCTTTCCGCGCCTGCAATCCTCGCTGCCTATGGGTGTTCACACATACGAGGCGGTGGCGTTATGGGGTTGTACAATCCCATAACGGCACTATATATATATATATATATATATATATATATATATATATATATAATTTTCGCAACGAATGTTCTACGATTGCAACTCAGTTTTACCAAAAATTATGACTGAGATGTGTTAATTTGGAGAGAAATTGTAGTGTAAATAGTATTACATAACCATTACTAAATACGATAAAGTACGTGCACCACTAGGTTAGCACCACTAGTTTGGCTCGATATAAGTTATGACCAAATTTGCATAGTCATTAATCAGTCTGACACGCATATTCAGACATTGCAATATATAGTTGCGTGAACAAAGTTTTTTAGGATCCATAAAATATTCGCTTCCTACACAAAATAATTCCTAAAGTAATGGAAACATGTTTGAACAAGTAACCGCGTAATTCAGGCATTGGACATGACCAATAGACACGTATTTTACTAAATGTCTTGTAATAATAGATACACCAACAAAATGATAAAAAACACAAAATGCAATGACTGTGAATATTCATATTAGTATGGGTATTTCAAATGTAATTAAGTGAATGGAAATTAGAGAAGCAAGCAATTATTGTACGAACAATTATGCAATATTCAATCACTACTCTATAATAAGACAATACAGAAGGTACAGATGTCATTTTAACAACAATTCTCCACTACTCTTCACATAATTCACTTTGTATACATACACATTTGTGCAATTGCAGTCAATACACTGGGAAACTATAGCCCATTACAGCAAAATAAAAGCGTTTAATAATAATAAATAATAATAATAACGTAATAATAATAAATAAACACGTTAGATGACCACGCCAGAAAAGACCAATGCAAAGAGGAGACAAGAAAACTTGAGGAAAAGGAAGGTATGAGAAAAATCAGAAAATAAATGAATTGGAAATAAATTATTGGCACGCAACTTAAATAAAAGTGATTGATAATTATTATTGATGCACCTTACTAGCACAATTCAATTTAATTCTTTATACCTGAACCTAAATTTACACTTCCCCTGTATCACCCGAATAAGGATCCTGAAGGTGGCATGTATACAATTCTCATCTCCATTATATTAAATCTATTATAAAAAATGATTCAGTTACTTTATTGTGGCTTCTACAATTAAGTTCTCTCTTCTGATGAGGAATATCTAATGGAAAGGCCCGATGAACCACGAGAGTTTTAACGTTGAGAGAGATTGAACTGTTTCAACATTCAAGATGAAGAAATTCTAATTTTTCAGTACCTACCATAAAAACAAAGAGCGACGAGAAAACACCTAGTAAATTTGATGAATATTGGCCAAATCGCCAGCAATAAATCTTTATGTAAAAAATTACTGGGGTAAAGAGACGTCTACCGTGCTAAGGATGAAGTAGACTATTGAATATTTACATGAAGAATGTATACAAATAAGTATTTATAAGATTAATTCCTTTTATGCCAAAACTTGTTTGTTTCTAATACTTTTACGTTTAGTTGAAAATTATTTTGTTCATTGAATGATTGTTTTGTGTTTGCGGGCGCGTCAATTGCTGTGGCCATTAGTCGCGTAAGTGTGGTATATTTTATATTGCAGGAGGCGGAAGTGTTCCATTTCCGCTAGAACGTGAGATTGAAACAACTACAGCTTGTATCCCGTCCAGTTATGTCTACTAATGGTTTATCACCTTAGCGGGAATACATTTGACGATATCTACAAGTCTCCAGACATGTGTGAGGATTTGTGCATTTAAGTGAACGTGTAAGGAGGGAGGAGAAGTATGAGGAAAGGAAAATTGCGTGCGGTTCGCGGCCCGATTCTTAAGATGACTCTATGGCATTCGCTCGGTATTGATTGAAGAAACCACAGAAATATTTCGATCAGAGGAGTCAACTGCTATAAGTCTGTACCTGACGGCGTCTGAATTCGCCCTATTTTAGCAGCGTCGAAAATTCGGTAAGATTCGCTGAAGTGGCAACAAATGTCTTGAGCCAGCTCAGCAGGAAAAAAATCTGAAGCTATAGAAGGGTACTTTTCTTTATTAAAACATATTTTGATAATATTTACTTTATTTTATAGAATTAATTAATTTAGAAAATATAATATTCATTTTACAACTTTAAAACGCTCTTTTCCGCACATTCAGTTTTTATCTGCCTGTTGTTATACTCATATAATTTGGTAATATGATAATCCTAATTGATGCCGAAGCTTTGTTTTGTGTTGATGTAATGGAATATTTTAACTCTGAAGATGTCATTTTAGATTGTCGAAACGTAAACAATGTATCAAGAATATTTTAATAGCTGAAGTAATTGGTTGACGAATTCTTTCATTGCCGAAATAAAATTTTAACTTCAGTGGCTCAATCAATGAATGCATCTCAGTGTAACTTTGACATTTCTTTCAGGTGAAACTATAAAAGCGTGATTATAAATGCAGCACTTATATTTTTATAACACATTCAACTACACACATCAATATATGTTCTAGTGAATCATTTCAGAATTGTATATTCTTGTTCCATTATTGTTTTCCACGAAAAATGGTTTCTAGAAAAAATAGGATATCAAAACAATGGTATTACTATTTTAATCAATTTTTGATGTTACACTTTTATTAAGATCTGGAGTGATTCAGTTTGGCAAGCAGATGTGATGCATAAGAATAACAGGGCTGAGTCTGCCAGTTAAAAATTTTATTCTGGGAAAAAGCCAATAAATTGTAATTAGTATACAAATTATACACAAGTACTCCGTCGCGCACACGACTGTTTCTAACGTGAGAGAACATCAACGCGGACCCCTCCTTGTTGCCGGCCTACAGCTCTAGCGCCTACACTTCAGGCGACATCGCGTCGCCAACAAGCAGATCCCCAGCCAACAGCAGCTAAGTGGATGTCGCTGCCGCCGCGACCGCCACTGCCACTCGTAGTCTTTCATTCTCATAACCTTCTCCTTATTGACATTTCCTGAGAGAATATCGACGCACCCCATGTGCCCGTTGTTAGTCGCCAGCATTATCGGCGTCTCTCCTTCGGCAGACATCGCATTCACCTCAGCCCCCGCTATCAAGAGGCGACTGACGGCTAACGTCGATCCACTTGCAGCAGCGGCGTGAAGAGCCGTGTATCCTCTCGCGTCGACCGCGCCCACGTCCGCTCCTTTCTTGAGCAGGAGGTCGATGCAATCCCAGGAACCGCTGACAGCCGCCACCGCTAGCGCCGTCTTCCCTTCGGCCGACTTGGCATCTATGTCCGCCCCCTCTTTCAGAAGGTGTTTGACGGCGTCGTGGTGGCCTCCGGCCGCCGCTAGCCCCAGGGGCGTTATTCCATCGACTGTCCTAGCATTCACTTCTGCTTTGGCATCTATCAAAAGAAGCACTACATCTAGGTGTCCATGTTGAGCCGCAGCGTGGAGAGGCGTATGTCCTCTCGAATCGGCAGCTCCCACGTCCGCTCCTCTCTCGAGTAAGAGCTCAACGCATTTCTTGTGCCCGCTGCCAGCAGCCAGCACCAGAGGCGTACTTCCTTCGGATGACTTCGCATTCACATCCACCCCGGCTTCCAGCAAGCTAAACATGTAATACTGGTAGCCTCCTTGCGCTGCATCGTGCAGAGCAGTTTCCGTTTCTGCGTCGACCGTGCTCACATCTGCTCCTCTCTTGATCAGGAGGTCGACGCAGTCCCAGTGCCTGTTGTGGACCGCCAGCGCCAGCGGAGTTCTTCCTTTGGTAGACGACACATTAACCTTAGCCCCAGCTGCCAAGAGGCGATACACGGCGAGAAAGTGGCCTCCTTCAGCCGCCGCGTGAAGTGGCGTGTTTCCGTTCATGTCGGCCGCGCCCACGTCCGCTCCTTTCCCGAGCAGGAGGTCGATGATCAAACTGTTCCCGTCGCTAGCCGCCAATGCTAGCGGCGTTTTCCCTTTGGACGACCTGGCATCCACGACCGCCCCTTCCTTCAGCAGACAATCAATGACAGCGCTGTGGCCTCCTTTAACTGCAGCGTGAAGAGGCGTGTGTCCCCTGGCGTCGGTCTCGTGCACGTCAGCTCCATACCCGAGGAGGATAGAGACGCAGTTAACATTTCCTTCGCCAGCTGCAAGCGCTAGCGGCGTCTTTCCTTCAGTCGACTTGGCATTCACGTCCACCCTCGCATTCAGTAGGCGATAGACAATGGGTGTTTGGCCACCTGCAGACGCCGTATGAAGAGGCGTGAGCTCTCCGGCGTTCACGTCCGCTCCTCTCTTGACGAGGACGTCGAAACAGTTCATATCTCCGTTGCCAGCCGCCAACGCCAGCGGTGTTATTCCTTCGGCCGACTTCGCATTAACCTCCGCCCCTGCTGCCAAAAGGCGGTGAACAATTTGCAGGCGGCGTCGTTCAGCCGCCACATGAAGAGGCGTGAGCTCTCCAGCATTCACGTCCGCACCTCTCTTGAGCAGAAAGTCGAAGAAGTCCATATCTCCGTTGCCAACCGCCAGGGCCAGCGCCGTCATTCCTTTGTGAGACTTCGCATTCACGTCCGCCCCTTCTTCCAAAAGACGACAAACAATGTCCATGTGGCCCCGTTCAGTCGCCGCGTGAAGAGGTGTGTACTGTCCAGCATTTACGTTCGCTCCTGTCTCTAGCAAGCGATGGACGCAGTCCATGTGTCCGTTGCCAGCCGCCAGCCCCAGCGCCGTAATTCCTTCCGCAGATATCGCATTCACGTCAGCCCCAGCTTCCAGCAGGCGATAAACAGCGTCCACGTGACCTCTTTCAGCCGCCGCGTGCAGGAGGGTGCGCCCTCCCTCGTCGGTCACGCTTTCGACCTCCACTCTCTTGAGAACGTCGACGCAGTCCTTGTGCCCCTTCCTCGCCGCCAGCGCGAGTGGCGAGTCGCCGTCATCCGTCAATGCATTTACTTCCGCTCCGGCATTCAGCAGAACGTACACGGCAGAGAGGTGGCCTCCATACGCAGCCGCGTGCAGAGCAGTTGGATCTCCAGCATTCACGTCTGCCCCTTTCTCTAGCAAGCGATAGAGGCAATCCTTATGCCCGTTGCGAGCTGCTAGCGTCAGCGGGGTCACTCTTTGGACAAATTCATCCTCAGTTCGCATAATGAATTCAGAGAACTTCGCGGTGTAGTGGGAGGGACGGCGCCGGGTTTGCTTTCCTGCTTTGTCGGGATTCACATTGTACCACCTCGAAATGGGCGGGATAACACAGTAGAAGAGACCTTTCAGGGCTTCATGGCGGGAGAAGCTTTTCTCCGTCTCTGCGTTGATGTTTGATCCAGCATTCGCGAGAACTTCAAGCACATTGCAATGTCCTTGAAATAAAAAAAATACAATATGAGTTGCAATAATAATTATATTAATAACAAACTAAACATAATTAAAGGAAATTAATTGACCTTAGGAATTTATCTGTCATCCCAGAAATTGTGCGGCAACTCATCTTTTGGTGCTACAGAATAGCACACACTGTCTCGTTAGTTTTCCAATTCCTTTGGTATGGGCTAGCTTAACGGTCTTGTATGAAAAGCAGTTATAATTGTCAAATTTATGTTGATATTTGCTTGAAAATATTTAGATTTTGCACCAAATGTACGAATTCGAGTGATGCAATACATCTATTCTAACAAGATTTCCGAAAAAACAAATTGGAACTATTTTTGAGAACATCATTATAATGCTCCAGATGCTTAATGTATAGTACCCCAAATTTTAAAGACTGTTTTTCAAAATCGTAGTGACAAGAGTGGTGTCAGATCGAAAGGGGAATAATTTGTAACGAATATTGCATCATCCGTCGGAATCCGCTGCGCGGATTGCGACATCTGCCGGGGCTTCCTGTTCTGGGACATTTGCGAGTAGCGTCGAAGTATGACAAAAGTACCGGATAAGTCCAGGTGAGCGTCAGCCAGGTATAAAGGCGGCCGCTAGCAGTCTGAAGTCTGAAGTGGAAGCTGAGCTGTGAAGTGTGCATTACGGTGAACAGTGCTGAACAGTAGGTGAACAGCAATACAGAAGACCGTGATCAGCGCTGTGAACTGTAGCCAGCGTAGTGAATTGTGGTTTGCACAGTGAAATGAGGTCAGCGCAGTGGACCGTGGACAGTGCATCGGACTGTGCGATAGTGAACAGTGTAAATAAATAATCAGAAGAAGTAAATAGTGTAAATAAATAATCGGAAGAAGTAGATGTCTGTAAGGAAATAAAGTGAAGAACACAAGGACTGTAACCTATCAGTACATACCTCAAGTATTTTTAGTGCATCATTATGAAACAAAATATACGGCTTTGTTAAAACATTAGCCGTGTTTTTATTCACCACGAGAAACGATGCAATTCATTTTAAAAAAGATCCTACGTATGTTTTAGTTGCTAGTGGGGTTCACAGACTGACTGACGGACAGACAGACGAACGGCCAGACGGATGGACGGACTGGCTTTTAAAAAAAACTTTTTTTGGTATAAGAGGACCCCAAATTGTGTATTTTCCTTGAAATCTCAAAATCGATTTTCTGCAGCATTACTTAACATTCTCTATATTACGTATATTCGTATGTATAAGTGGCCTTCTTGTTCTAGTTATTTTTCTATTTTTGAGGAGGGGGTCTCGGCTAGCTTTCTGGTCGGGCCTCAATCTTCTTGCCAGCTGCCATCTACCGCCGTCCAAAGTACATACGTTAAAAATGTTCTCAATTATTCAATTTTGTAATGGTATATCCGGAATATTACTTAAATACAACAGAAGCAACAAATGCAACAGAAGGCATCAAAGCAAGTCTTAAATGGAATATTCGATGACAAATTTGAAACCCTTTTTAAGAAAAATCTTGTTCAAGCGTTACTGTAAATTTGAAGTTCTTTGTCACAGAAAAATATCAAGTTTTAGGTAAACGTCAATGGAAGTCAATTGAAACACATCCACCCTCAACCGCAATAACGAATACTAGGACCGTCAACCTGATGTAGGTTGGTAGGCCTCACATGTACGGCCGAGAAACTATTTAAACTTTGAACACAAGGAGCGGGTCTCCGAACGTTAGTAGCTAAGTGGGGCAGAGAGTGGAGGTAAACCAGCTGCATGGCGAGCACTAGTGTACAGAGAAGAGAAGGACAAGGAGGGGAAGTGAGTGCACTTCACAAACAGTTCAACTAATTTTTTCTGTTGTTTCCGAAGAATTGTTTTCGGTGTTAATGTTGCTACAGTAAGCCGTTACACGAAATAGAAGTGAGGTGTCACGAAGGTTGGTGGATTAGAAAAGCTAAAAGAGATAAATGATCCTACAATTTTAGAGAAGTACATTCTTCGTATATGTAAATACAAGGGGAGAAATCATAACAATAGCAGGGAAATATAATCACCCTAACGCGCGGATATTCATTTTTCAGCGTTTATTGTTTTTGTTGTCGGAGTAAATTTTATGTCTATTTGCGTATTTTTTATTCATTTAGTATAAAAATCTGTAAAAACTGTATGGGACGTATGGGGGAGAAGATCAACTGCGCACTTTTTCTTGAGTTCCAGAATCCGTTCCCGTCATTTTAACTACAAATAGTTGAAAAATGAGTAAAAGTTTAAAAAAAAAATAAAAAATCGCGAGATTAGCAATTTTTGAAAAATAGACATTTTTGTTTCCGAGTTATAGAAAAATTATTACATATACTTCAAGTACAAGAAATCCGCTATGTACTCTAGCCGTTGCTTTATTTCAACGGAGTCCGAGGCCTGCATGAGGTGACCAGCTGTGGTGACAGCTATGTACTCGTCTTAGCCGCGCCACCTTTTTCTGATTGCGTTGGTATCCATTTTCTTAATGTTTTGGGCTTTTTCCTTCTTTTTGCACCGTTCTGCTCTTTCTGAATCAGACTTTTTGTGACATTTTAAGTAAACAAACATAATAAATGGGCATGTCAATGGACCGTGTTTGAATATGTTCCACTATTACAGGAACGCCCGATCATGTTCAACGACTTTAACGCTTTAACACGAGGTAGAGTTTACATAACAAAATACAAGATATATTAACCATTGAGCATATTTTCGAAATGCGTTTTTGACGTTGAAGCCATACTCAGCGTTAATGTTTTAAAGTATTTTATTAGTTATTTCTTCTTGTTCGACAACACAGTTTTTCAGGGGTTTTAATAGTACATAAAATTAGTCAGTTACCTAAAAATTTTAAGAATACAAACAGCTGATGAGTGACATAAATTCACTTGGGTTGGTAAAAGTCACGTGGGTAAAATACAAAAACGATTGGATAAAGTGAAAAAAACAGAAGGGGTTTTCACCGCTCGAAGTGGGAAGGGGAGACTAGGCTTCGTGATAGAGGGACCGTTGGTGAAGGAGGAGAAACAAATTGACCGAGGTCGAATAATGACCAGTAGGCAGATGGATAGAAGTACACAGCAGTAGGCGGCGGAGTAGATTTACGCAAAAATATTGTAGCAGAGCAAATTCTGTCCGAGTTTTCCCATAACGGTGTAGATGGTGTACGCTAAGAATTTTCTGGATGTTCAAATATGGCCAGTGAGTAAATTGGAGCCAGTCAGAGTCGTAATAATTCATGACATACGAATCGTAAACCAAATGTGATTTATTACCAACTTACGGGAAGCAGTTGGGCGTGGACAACACCGAGCGGACGTGCGGCAAGCAAAGGCTTCGACCTGACGGGAGCTCCAGCCGGGTGTTGGTGGAGCACGCTAGCAGGTTCCATGGTATGTTTTTTTGAAAGACATTTATGTTAACAGCATTCGCAAGGAACAAGAAGGAAGTAAACTGTAGTAGTGTGGAGTTAATGTAGTAGTAGTTAGTGAACGTCACATAAACAAAGCGCGTTGAGAGTTCCCAATGTATCCGCGTTAGTATAAGTAGTACTTAAGAATAGTAAAAGTTATTTTACCCAGTCTAAATTACATTCTATTAATTACCATCTCAAAAATCCTATCAAAATAATATCCTGCATGTGCCAGTTAAGGTTAAAGTAACTAATATGAAATAATAAAAGCTTGCTTAAAAAATATCGTACAGTCGGGCAACATTTAACGCAGTACTATAAAAGTAGCTGTGGTAAATACATGAGTGTAAGAACGTGGTTGAGGGAACAAACCCATACCCAATGATAATTTCTCGCTACTGTCGCAATTTTACAGGCGAATAGGCATCAAAATATTTTTTTCTCCAAAACTGTTTTCTATGAAAACAAGCTCAGCTCTTTTTCAGAAACGCTCAAACGCCATTTTCTCAAAAGCGGCTCCACATTTTTTCGTCAAACTTTTCATAAGGTTAGTATTATTGCACTGTTTAAGATGATATAAAATTCATTTTGCTGTATTCTTTCTTTTTTCAACTAGTGGTTAAAATAGAGCACGTACATTCTCGCCCTTAGTAATGGTTATGTTATTTATTATTATACGATTTAGAGCACAAATTCTCTCCGTATTAACAAATCTCTCTTCATGTTTGTAAAATTCATTACAAACAGTAGAGCAAAAGCAAAATATTAAGAAGCAAAAATCGCCACAAATTTAACAATTATAACTGAATTTCATGTAGATAAATCATGTCAAAACTATTAGAAGTAATTCTCAGAAATTTGCGAGTCGTGACTGCTACTTGGAATGTGGAATGCTATTGTTGCATTTCAGTCTGGTTTTTCCTGAAGACTAGTAATTTGTATTTCATATATTTCATATAGGATTTAAATAATTTCTAAAATATTAATTTTTAAACGCATAACAATATATTCAATCTAAAAATCTAAGAAATATGAAATAACATTCACATTCTAAATTACGGAGCATCCAACTTCCTCAAAATACCTCTACAATAACGGTTTCAAAGCTCACGATTTTCGGAGCGTGCGAATAACTTTAACGCCAAATTACAAACATTTTAATTGACATTATTGTAACATTTAATGTGACTTTATCTGAAGATCTTTTTGATAAACATATGTGATTAAGAAAACAAATTATATTTCCATAGTTATAGTTGCACGAAGGCGCCAAAAAAAGTTCATTTTTTCCAATTTTCGAAAACTAGGGTTTGCAATAACATGACATCCTTCAAAGGTACCAGACCTTATCCAATAGCAAGGTATAATAAAAGATGATTGAGCCATTTTTTTTAAATTTGAAAATGTCCCAGGGACTTCATCTAAAGTACCATCCAAAACTAGGTTTTAATTCCAAGACGTCGCTACGAATGAACGATTTAACCGCTAGCATTGTTCACAGACGGGCAGGGGGACAGACACGTGGACAGATGTTTTGCCGACAATCGATTTGCAGTATCAAGGACCCACAAAACATGGAGTCTGGTACACCATGTGTTAGAGGAATTTTTCCTAAATTTACCATCGCAACTTATCCACTTTGTGTAGTGAAAATATGTATATTAAATTCGCGATTAAGACATGTCAGGTAAAACAATCTTGCAAGGAATTTTTTAGAGTCAAGAGTGATCAAATCTGTTTGTAAGTTGGAAGTAATGTTTGACGTACCTTCAGTAGCCACTACGTGTAGAGGCGCCCTCCCGCCTGCATTTGCGCTGTGGACGTCTGCTCCGTGTCGTATTAGAGCGCGCGCACACGCCGCGAGGCCGTGACGTACCTTCAGTGGCCGCTACGTGTAGAGGCGTCCTCCCGTCTGCATCTGCGCTGTGGACGTCTGCTCCGTGTCGTATTAGAGCGCGCGCACACGCCGCGAGGCCGTTGGCCGCCGCCAGGTGGAGCGAAGTCATCTCGTGGGCGCTCCCTTGGGCCCCGCTGAACAGCAGTTGGAGCACGTTGGGCGAGCCCTTCCCACTGTCCAGGGGCTCTACTCTTGGATCTTGCGACTCCGCGTTGTCCAATGCCACGTGTGTCAGAGGGTCATCGTTGATGCCCTGCGTGTAGGGTGAAGAAAATTATTACTTGAAAAGTGTAATATTGTATTTAAGTCTGTTTTAAGTTCAATATAAGGTGCATTTGTTACGTATGAAGATAAAATTAAATAATCACGGATCTTACGTGAAAAAAGTACGTTACGAAGCGATGAAATCAATTTTTGTAAACAACTCGAATTATTTTAATGAAAGTTTGACAATGATACTAGATGTTATTGCTCTATAAAATTCTTAAATTCATATTTGAAATCTCCTGTTATGAGGAAGAGATTGTGAGATGCGAAAAAATGTCATGTAGGCGAGAGAAGATGGCGTATGGGAAGAGACAAAACTGAAAAGTAGGCCCAAACTCAAAAACTACCTGTTACAGAGAGGTTTCATTCTGTAGGTCCACTAGTTATTAAACTTCAGACATGAAAGTTTGAACACGTTATTCAATGTATGATGCTTACAATTAGTCATTATTAATTTTTAATGTAGTCGGATTAAAATCTCCTTAGAATATTTCGGCCCGTGATTTGTTCAGAGTAAATTTGATTTTTCATTTGATATACAAGTCGTCAATTTTTTTACATGTCTTTTTTAACAATTTTTTTTTTTGATTAGTTGAGAACTTAAATTGTCGTTGATACGAAATTGATCGCTGTGCATGAATGGAGAGAGTGTGTATGTTGACTGCAGAAAACTTGAAAATGGTGGAGCAAAGGTGTATCTTAAGATAATCCTGCTGTTGCTCGGCGGGGATTAAATGAATATTATGTGGTTAAATGATTTTTTCTTGGAAACAGCTGTTGGAGTCATAAATTAACAAGTTGGGAGAATCAAGTTAGAATGTTCAAGGAGACTAAATTGAAAAGAATTAATTAGTAAATAAATGAGTCATGCAATGCCTACTGCGGCGAACCGTGCGGCCTCCGTGTGGTGCCCTGCGCTGTGCAGCGAGGGGTCCTCCGCCAGCATCTCGTCGAGGAAGTGCAGCAGCACGCCACCGCCGCCGCCACCGCCGCCCTCGTGGTTCGCGCCCGCGATCAAGGAGCGCGCCACCGTCCGCGCCGCCGCTTCCCGCGCCACGTTCGCGCTCAGCCACGCCGCCGCGAAGTACTCCACGAGCGTGTAGTGGACGAAGCGGGGCGCTGCGTCGTCGCCCACCCACATGAGGCCCGTCTTCAGCCGTTGGAGGACCTCCAGGTTGTCGGAGATGAAGTCTTCAAAGGGCTGCGGGTCCACATCCTTAAACCGCCTGTCTGATACCTAAAGCAAAAAAGGCGCTGGTAAAACTATTGTGGGGGTTTTACATCTAATATTACTTTCTCGTTTACATAGAGTATTGTAGTGCTGCACGTATGTAGTAGATGTTGGGATGCACCCACAAACTTTACGTTATGTTTTTTGTTGGAACAAGCCATAAGGCCCCTTAATTATTATTGTAAGCCTAATGTATTGGTACGCACACCTTGGCATAGAATAGCGACAAGTCTCCTACAATTCATTAAATGGTATTACATGTGTAATGTGTTCAATGTTCTGCATTTTACATAGTCGACTTGTGTATTTCACAGCAGCCGGATGGCCTGCATCCGCCAGTGTCAAAGGCACAGATGCAGATTTGACCCCCCCCCCCACGCTGCTTACTGGCGGCCTCCGATTGGCCGCTGCTTCAGCCAATAGTACTCGGCCTAGACTTGAATATACACACGAGCACTGACCATCACGGCGTATACCAGCCCTGAGGAAGACCACGACAGGATGGTCGAAACTTCGGAAACTCAGCCTTCGACGCGGCGTAACCCGGACAGCCCAGATCATCCACATGACTCTGGCCGCGGAAGCCTACGACTTCGGCTGTATTTTGTTGACGACAGCAGCAACAGACGATATAAATGTACACTTTGTCAATTAACAGGCTACGTTAGATGAATATATAATTATTATTGTTACCACGTTTTGGAAGTAGAACTTTCTATAACCTAGTTCAAAGTGAAGAGGAATGCTTGTCCACCTTGGTAGTAATGGATATATATATATATATATATATATATATATATATATATATATATATATATATATAAACTTGTAACAGGTGGAACTGTAAACGCAAAAATTTAATTTCCGAAGATTTCCGCTTGTAATTGGAGTGGTTTTGAGTGTGACCTCAGGGCACAACCGTCAATTTGCTGGCAGCGCCTCTCCATGGTACCTACAGTACGTGCCTACAGTACTTCAGAGGCGATCCGATATTTATTAAACATTTTCCTTTCTTAACGAACATGTTTCCTTTTGCATCATGGATTATGTAAATGTGCAAGAAAAAATTGAAATGATTTTCAGTTACCGCAAAGTAGGGAGAAATTTCGACGATGCTGTTAATTTGTAGGCTCAACGTTTTTTCGACAGAGTACAATCGCGTTCTTCTTTCCTTAGAATTGTTCAACAATTCTCTACAGAAGGATGTGTACAACCGAAGAAAAGAACACGTAGATTTTCTGCTACTGGAGAAAATAATCAAATATCAGTACTGGCTGCAGTAGCTCATAATCCACATGCGAGTGTTCGAGAAATATTCAACAATCAGGGATTCCTCGTATGAGTGTTTGGAGGATACTGAATATACATACAATTCATCCGTATCAGGAATTAGCTGACAATGACTTTCAAAACCGACAACAGTTTTGTCAATGGGCAGTTCCGAACTTTTTTACTCAAGTACTATTCTCTGATGAATCGACATTTACACACCACGGTGAAGTTAACCGCCATAACATGCATTTTTGAAGTGTTGAAAACCCATACTGGATTCGTCAAGTAAATCATCAGCGTACTTGGTCGGTTAACGTTTTGTGTGGAATAATTGGCGATAAACTTATCGGACCATACTTTATTGACGGTAATCTAAATGGTGATAAGTACCGAAACCTTCGTGATAAAGAACTACCGAGAATACCCAAAGAAGTAATATTGGGAGTGAGACAAAACCTGTGGTTTCAACATGATGGTTGCCCAACACATTACTCATTAGTAGCACGCGAGGTATTGGATCGTGATGACAATAATCGTTGGATCGGTAGAGAAGGACCAGTGCACTGGCCAGCCACATCACAAGACCTTACCTGACAAGATTTCTTGTTGTGGGGTTACCTAAAAGATGTTTATAAAGAAACACCTACTACTCATGAAAACATGATGCAACGAATAAGGGACGCTTGTGCCGCGATTACACCAGATATGTTAATGCGATGTGTTCGTTCATTTGTAGAACGACCCAATACATGCATTGAGGTTCAGGGCCATCATTTTGATCAGTTACTTTAAATAAATGCTGAGGTATTTGTAGAATCATCTAAAACCAGCACTCCGATAGTGAGAGACAAGGGAACTCACTAAAAACAAGCACCCCGAAGGGAACAAATAACTTCTACGTCCACGTCGTTGTTCCTGGGTTAGGTTAAAAGTAGTTTATTGACTTCCGTAGAAAATACTGATATTTATTAACTACTCAGAAATAATCGACCACGCTCAAAATCACTGAAATTACAGTCGGAAATCTTCGAAAATTATTTTTTTGCGATTACAGCGCCACCTATCACAAATCAAAAAAACGTTTCAGACAAAACTTTTGCTTTGACCGTAAAATCCGAATCTGAAATAAAAAATGGGGGTTCCTATTTAATATTTCAATGTTGCCCACCGCCGCAGCCGCTGGGGGCAGGGCGGTGATTATTTCAGCATAGAATGATTCCCCCTTCAAAATTGTTAAGATTTGGACTAGCCACAATTTTTCGTACATCACGTCTTTTTTGAATTATTTCAATTTGTCAAGTTAAATGGGACAACTGTGTATAAAACTTTATCAAAGCTGTACGGTTTAATAATGTTGCATGCCCATGAATTCGACATACAACATTCGTCATCTGACCTGTTGCTTGTGGATGTGTGACTATACAGAAATGACGATTACTGGAAATTCCGTGGAATTTACGAATTATCGAATTGATGGCAATTCAATTAAATATCAGTCATTTCTTTTCAAACAACAATTACATTTATTACATAATTCTATGACATGTTTTTGAGCTCCTTATTAATGATCCTATGGGCTTGCAACATTGTTAAACCATTAGGCTTTTATTAAGTTCATAAGCTTACGGAATATCTTCTCGGTGGATTTTATGCCGCAATATTCTGCAGAAGGGGATGTTCTAGATCTTTCTGCGGTTGTTTGGCCTATTGTTGTATAAACCTTAAGTATTTCCCGAACTATTCAGTCCGCTATTCGGAAATTCTTGAGACTGCTCTCATTTTATCGCGGCGCGACATTTCCTCGCAGGATTTCGAGTACAACCCCTACTCGTGACTACTATTTCTTTTCAATTTACAGTTTATAATTTCCCACTATAATATTAACCTCATCGACACCCATGAACACGAGGTCCAAATATTCAAGATGCAAAATTGTCCCAGTTCAAGTGTTATCTATCATTAAAAATGCAGAATTTATTCACATAAACCCAAATAAACAATACTGCTTAGTCTATACTCTTATGAACCACTCAGTCATCCACAACACAGGTTTACTATGTCAAAATTACTATGACGTAATTTTCATTACCACCTGAACGGCTTGGCTGCTTGCATGAGATTGAGAATATGTTTCTTCTCGCTTGACTTCAGTTTTCAACGAAGTCTCATGTTCATTTCACCAGGTCGTGCCGTTCCTCAACAATACTATGCGTGTGTTTTTTGCATCCAGCACATCGAGCAATATGTTTATTTGTCTGATGCTATGGTGCGCGTATTTCTTGGATTCTAACTTCTAACGTTCTCTATGCTTCAAAATTCCCTGTTCTCTTGATATTTTTGTATTATATTCGTGTGACATTCGGGTATGCCACTATATATATATTATATATATATATATATATATATATATATATATATATATATATATGTAAACGCAGCTATATTCATGTTAAGTTCACCATGGCCACCTGCCCATGAGTACACTGAAATTCTACTCTACCCCTGCTGGCCTCTGGCGGAATATATTGGAAACCTGTCTTAGCCACAGGCGAAATGTAATGATCATATGCATCTATCAGCATATTATTTAAATTATGTATTTATTTTACGCATTTGTGTTGTATTAATCTTTACCAAAGTTTGCGCGTTCACTGCGTCAAATCATAAAGAAGAATCTGCGAATGTTTAGTATCTATTCATATACTCTTTCTTGTGGAATTGATGTCGTTGCATTCACTTTTGTTAGCAGTGTGTTCTTTTTACATTTGAAGGAGTAATTACCAATTATAAATGTGAATTAAGAGATTTTTAGCTTCTGTACCCCCTGAATATATCTAGTATAAGCATATATATTTTTCAAATGATAATAAGAAATTATATCAAATTGGTTTCATCCTGTATCTCGCGAGAGAAGTTATGCCTTTTGCTAGTGTACGATAATGTGAAGTAATTCTTGGTTTGGAGCGCTTACCAGCAAGAACATGGCGCAATTCTGATGAAATTGGGAAAAGAAGTCAGGTTTGAAGAACGGAGCGCATTCGATGTTGGCGGCCTGGAAGCCATGTTTGTCCAGGGACGCCTCCTCCTTGCGCCGCACGAACTTCCGGAAGAGCTCGTAGACCTCCAGAGCCCACTCGCCGTCCAGCGGCTCTGCGCCCCCGTCCATGAAGATCTCGGCCACCATCTTCAGGTGCAGAGGGGTCGCGAGCAGGCTGCCTACAGCGAGGGAGAGAGAGAAAGAAGTGGCAGATTAGGGGACAATTTATATTGCAATGAGTCGTATAGACCCATCGCACGGCGCGACCCTTGAGTCACGCTCTATAAACATATTTTGAGGCGAAGAGCGCCGTTCACACAATTTGACACGCGCAGCCGCCTGTGCGCCGCTAGCCCAGTATTCCCCAGCGAGCGTCCGCCCCCGAAACGTACCCTTCCATCTTTGTGTGTAGCAGTAGATGACTGACTACCGGAACTGTCACATTAAGAGGCGAGAGTAGCCCACCATAACTTCCTACTTGACAATAAATCACGAAGCTCAGTAGAAGACTAGCCTTTGGAAAGCTTCGCACTAAGCACTTGATAGGACGGGCATGTTGTCACTCACAACGGCGCATTACACGAATAATTACGACTGTGTGGTCCATTACAATATATTTTTGCAGTTTAAACATATAACACTGATGTGTTGCATTATGCACTCCAAATATATGTTATGGATTAAACTTCGACATAAACACCTCCTTGTAGGTTTTAACTAAGAGTTGTGAATCTTTTTTACTCTACTATTACCCTTAAATAGAGCACTTTAATTTTAGTAGAGTGCGAGGTTACTTGGCACCGTTATTAAAATTATATATTAACAGTGGTGAAATAATAAACAATCATTAATTATTACCTTATCAATTTGCCTTATTAATTTCAAGCACTTTCTTTTTAAGAAAAGAAAATAATGTAATTTTGCGGGGAAGTGGATAATTCTTGTCCCTACATTAAACATTTTTATTTAACCAAATCCAATACAAATATCAATACAATATATAATTAATAATGCCATGAAAAGTTAGAAGAACAAACAGGATATTGTACTTTGAACACAGAAATGTGAATGACTGAATGACATTGAATACTGACAATTAGCGAGACAGACATGTGGACAGATTTAAAATACAACCACATAGAAGTCGAAAATGTGCATTAATACTGCTGAATAGGGATGTAGAAACCAATTTATAATGAGGCGAAAATGTCCAGGTCGTATTTACGAGTACATTGTACAGTGAGGATCATACCTCACTGAGAATAGACCGCTAGGTAATTGGAACACTTCAACTGTAGAAACACCGCACTGAACTCCGTCTCAAATACACATATTTACACTGAAATTTCAATACAAATACGATGAAAATGGCTACTTTGCACTGATACTTGTATGCTAGCATGGTTAGGAATATGGACGATTTGCCATCTCCACTATGAGGTATTTACACTAGTACTTACTATTACACATACACTAGAACATTATTACACTATTACACTATTACACTATTACACAATGCCGTCTCTGGTACTTCCCTCCTGCGTCAGGCGCGACAGGGACGTGCGCAAGGCAAGGTGGTCCCTGGTGGTGGCGGCATAGTAACAGGCTGCGCTTTCCGAAATTGTTTCTGCAATAATATGTTGACAAGTCATTTATGAGGCATGTCGCCACTTTAAGGAGCGCGGAGTTGCTCAGAGCACCCATCACCACTGGAAGGACCTCCGCCGAGGGGAAGCCGGCAGCAAGGATGTCAGATCGAGTGTCATTGATACTTCGACACGAGCGTTCGACACGGCACGCTCCATCACCATTTTAGGGCAGGTCTCTCTCCCGGCCGATTGTTTCTCACTACGGACCTGTCGCCCTCTCGCCATAGCAGCTTCTTTGTATACATTGCTGATTGACTTGTGACCCTGTATACATATGATCAAGTGGCTTTTACGTGATGTCATTAGGTGGCCCAAAGTTTCCACAGGAGTCTCGCCGTTCGGTGGATAGCACTTGCAGCGACATAAGGTGGTGGTGCTGCCGATCGTTGGTATAGGACCGGTTAGGTGTTGAGCATTGCCGCAAACAGAAATTTGTGAACTGGAATACTCATGTTTTGTCCCATGCGAAGTACCCAGACCTTGTCAGGGAATCAATATAAATGCCTTAGGTCGCTGGATTTTGCCATCATTGTCAGTGCAGAACAGTGACAGGTACTGCTTGGCGTATGGTCGCATATCGAAATGGTGAGTTCATTGCATTTAGTTGTCCCTTCGAGTACCTGCTCATCAAAGGGCGGGAACACTGTCGCCGGAGGACGATTTGTAGAAGAGCGCCTATCTTCTTCCTGTCGTTAAGTGGCGAGTGTACTATTTTACTCGAGAGGATCTGTTCTTTCAGGCTTCCCCACTCCTTTACTAGGCTGAAGTCTACTGATCTTTCTGGGGAAGAGGTCTATTATGTCGCACCAAGTGGTCGTAAGATCTGGCCGACGATAGTTATGGTGAGATCGGCGTGTTTTCTCCTTATTACGAGTGTCACGGATCTGGAAGTGTGATCTTAACATCTATTCTTTGTATTGTAACGCCCCGCCTATGTTCGGGCGTACGGCCAGAACTTGGCCGCCAGACCTGTCCACAGACGGCGGCGGGAATTCCGATGACTTACCTGCTTGGGCCAATCTTTGCAACAGTTACAAATGTTGTGATTCACTCTCAGTAGAGCGTGGAGAATCCTCGTGACTGAGCTTCTGCATTATTCTCCTCGGAAAATTGTCTCTCGTCTCTGAAGTATTCGCCCTTGAAAATTCCGTCTGAAGTGAATTTTTACGGTCATTAGTGGAGTGCGCAGTGGGCACTTAGGGCGTGTGTCTCTCGCAGACATATTTATGGCGAGTGGGTTTTTGGGGGAATGGAATCGCTAGGTGAGTTGCCATATCTATTGCTAATGCGGCGTGAAAGGGTACAAATCTGCCTTTTACGGACATCCTGCCTCTTTGGGGTGACGCATTGCCAAGGGATGTGGTAAGCGGGTGTACTCTCTGCGCTTACAAGAGAGCGGTAGCCTGATTATTCAGCACCAGCACAGCCCCCTACACAAAGGAGTTCTTTTTAAAAGGCCGTGGGCACGTCGAACGGAGCTGCGTTAGCTGTCGTAGGACGTTTCAGTAGGGCGTGCTGGGTCGGTCCACCATAGTTTGCAGTACCGGTGCCGTCTGCGCCAGGAACTCCAGGTCATCGACCTGGTATAGGAGGGGGTAGGCCCTGATGCTCCTCCTCTGCTCTACAATCCCGCATCGCGACGTCATTGAAGAAAACGCCGCTCAGGCGAGCGATTCTGCCTGGTTTCTCTTGCCATGATGTAGACAGTTGGGTCATGGGCGATGAGGACGCAGGTGGAATTGCTCCTATATATCTCTTCAACTGCTTTGGCGAAGGGGTCGCCTGCTCCTGCGCTCAGCAGGGAATCTTGCAGCGACCTTTAGGGAGCAGCGGAAAGCATTCTGTAGAACCGGAAGTGCAATGGCAAAGTCCCTCTTCCCCACCTTCGCGAGACAATCGCCGGTTTGAGGTCCAAAAATTGAGTCGTAGGATAAAAGAGCTCGGGCGTAATCTCAGCTCAATCTTTCCGTTTGTGGAATAATAACGGAAGATCTTAGAAGTAAAATAGGTCTCTATCTAAAATAAGATGTGAGGAGATGTAATATTGTTGATACTTATATAATTAGTTCAAATTTATTTTTAAAATCAGTTACCAAATCACAATCAATATTTTTAGTAATGCTTCAAACAATTTTATGATGATATTCGAAGGAAGACGGAAATATGTGAACAAGATAGTTGGATGGGCTGGGTCGAGCGAGTGGACTGTGCATGGATTGCAGTTAATTCGACCCTACCCAAACATTCCTGCAATAGCTCATAAACTGAGGCGGCGGAAAGGACCACCCAGACATCCTGTAATAAACAATAACAGGTTACTACCACACTGAGGTTGGGACTGCAAGAAAGGGAATATTGAGCCAGGTACTTGTTACCAATGAGACAATGAAATAGAATGCATGAAACATAATATATTATAAAATAAAAGTACCTATAATCTAGAACACTATTAACCTATGAACATGAGTAAAAAAAGTACATTTATGACCTTATACAAATGGTTAACATGGATACACAGCACGTGCAAGTTGTACAGTTGAATATGTTGGCAAGGCAAGCCCGCATGTGGTGGCCGGCGTTGCAAACGCCCAGGCCGTCGCAGGCAGGGCGGAGTGGCAAACGGGCAGAGCGCCGTTAGCAGAACTTCCCACGACTGGGGACTAAAGGTGGCGGCAATTAACACGCGCAACACGTGAAGGCGGAAGCGCCTTGGCAAAAACTCTCGCCAGGACGTGGGGCTGAAGCCATGCGGAGGACACTCGCACACACGTGGACGGGCGGAGCGCCGTCGGTGAAGGCGAAGCGTTTGCAGAGCATTTGTGCAACGCAGCTACGCCGCATGTAAAAAGACACTAAACAATGCATATATAATGTTACGTTTACCCGTGGCATTATTGGTTGCCAGGGCGCAACAATATCCACACGTTGGGGCAAGTAAAGTGCACGGCAACACTGTTGTTGGGCCGAAAGGCCATGTTTGGGAAGCGCGCACTACACGTCCGGTCGGGCCGAAGGCCAGGCTGAGAAGAAGGTCTGTAGGCCCTGCACAAAGGCGCGTCCTGTTGCGTTGGCCAAGGGGGGAGTGGGGGGATCTGCCACGTCCACGGGCGAGGGGGGGGGGGGGAGGGGGGAGGGGGGGGGGACGCTTCTAGAAGCCCACACAAAAGAAGGAGAGCTGGCACAGAGAGGCGCTGGTCGCAGTACCCGGCGAGTGTAATCCCTGAACCCCCGCACGTCACGCCGCGGCGGGTCGGGCAGGCAAGGGCTGCCTGTGTAAGCCGCGACCTCCAATGGGGCCTCGGCAGACCATTTGATATAGAATACATAGTACATGCGCTACGTGCAGAACCTGATTAAGCGTGCACCTATGCGAAGTAAATATATATAATAAATTAGCTTTGCTTGCTCTAACAATAGTTTTATACTACCATTCCGATGATACTAGATCGCTTGTCTCTGTCAGAAGCATCACTAGTTTTATATGTGGGGGAAAATATAAGGAGATGCAAAGTGACGAAAGTATAAACCGCCTTCCTGGCTTATCTGCCTGAAAGTTGGACCTCCTCCCGCGCCGCAGGCAGCGGGCCACGTCGAGCACTCACGCGCTGTGGCGGATGACGCACCAGAGAGGAAGGGGAAGTGGGTGAGGTGTTTTTCCAAATTTCACTTTACAACGATCCTATTCATCCGATTTGCATGATTGAACGGCGTTGGATTCAGGGAGCCCTTCGCCACCGCCTTTTAAGCGCACATTTTTTAATTTCATCAAGGAACTTTGAGAACAATTTTAAAACTTTTGGGCATAGTTTTTGGTAAAAGCTCTTCGTAGAAGTTCTATTTTAAAAAGGAGCCAAATGCCGTATACAGATCGAAAATCGGACCATTGGTTGAGATGTTATTGGTGAAGTAGAGCTTATTTTGATGCTGCCACGTGGTGGAGACAAATTGAACTAGTGGAGGTACATTTAGCCTTAAACCCCACACTGTTCCCTATTCTTCTATTTCCAGTTTTAACGAAACGTATTTATTTGTTTAAAAGTGTATAAAAGTAACTTCCATTGTACTGTCACAATATCAAATAAAAACAATAAATTGAAGTGGAAAAGAAATTTTCACTAAGATTTATTCGGAATTATCCAGAGATTTTTTGGAATAATACACAAGACTCCGTTAAAAATATTTGAAGTAATTATTCAGTATACTTTGGCAGTTAGCTTTTTGCTTTTCGTGATAGTCAGAAAAATGTCAAAAAAGCTTTTTAATCTTGAGTAAACTATATGACTGAACACGTTGACTTGGAAGTTTCACTGAATCACTGCTGATAACAAAAATACTGGTAGAGGTAAATAACAAACCAAATCTAACTAGAAAACTTGTTAGTTTTCTTGTGTGGTTATGCTAACTTAACGTTAAGTTAGCGTACCCACTCGTTACCGTTGTATATTTTGATGTTCTGGATTGGTAGAATATTTTTTAATTTGAGTATAAATTAGTTCTTAATTCGAATAAAATACTGGTATACTCTTTAACATCTATTTTTTCTGAAACAAAACAGTCTGCAAATTTATGAATGGGAGGAAATACAGCACTTTTTAGAGCATGGCCCTGCGATTGCACGCAACTTTTGGCAGACAGTGTCTAGCTAACTGCCTTCTCGGGTGGCTTGTTAGTTGGCGTGTTCGTTTTCCAAGGTGCAACCCCCGGTTCGATTCCCGGCCTGGGCAAAATTATAACTGAGCGCTTTCCTTCAAATGTCCCAGTTTCTATTGCTCTTTGACGATCAGAAAGCCCACCCTATATTTATGAAAACCAATGTATGGATGTCATCGTGCTAGCCACACGAGCCCCTTATCCCAAGGCGAAGTCTGGGTCACCGCTGGTTGGTCAAGGACGTAGCGGTTTTCCGAGCCAAAGGACAGGACAGTACCTTATTCCGTAGCGTGCCCCTCAGGACGCAGTGCACTCACAGTTTACCAATCATGCTAACGGTCTCCGGATATTACAACAGAGCTTGGAGTCTTGAAAATGGGCATAAAAGTCCTGTTACATATAGGCTAGGACGAATTTAAATTACAAAAAATATTTCGAGGCTTCTCAGATCGAAATAGAAAAGGAATGATTTATTGCTTATATTACGTACGACAAGTTCATATGTGTTTAACGATTTAAAATGAGAGCATCCCTTTAGAGAAAATCATTCTGCGCGTTGACCATAACTGTAAGTCAGCATCTGAAAAACCATCAAACAAATGAACTGCTTCAGAAATTGTTCGCACAGTTTTATACTGTTTAATGTACTGTCGGAGATACGCACCCAGCTGGTTTATTTCCAGCAACAATTTATTTTCTTTCGAGCAGCGCTTTAGTAAAAGCAATCTGACAAAGAATGTACAGCAGAAACAAGATAATTTAAATATAGCTGTGAATAGGTTCTAATAGAAGTCAGGGAAAAGGCTGCATTTAAACAAAGACACAGTTCAAAGCGACTTGGCGCAAACGAAGCATCAGAGACAAAACTTTCAGAAAAGACGACTCGATTACTCAAAATGTACGTCGAAAAGTCTGGTGGTGATCGCGAAGGCTGACAAGCGCTCATCCAAGATCTTATCGCGTGAGGGAGAGCGGCTCACCTGAAGAATAGCGAGTCTCTATACGACCTGTCTGGCGGTAATGCTCTGTTGCACTGGCGTGCCTTAGTTCACCCGATAGTTTGAGGTGTACTCTCGCAAACAGTCGAGATCTCTGGAACTGACCTGCCTCCGTGTCTTCGGGCACGCGGTTAGCGATGGCGTCCAGCACCCGCGCCGCGCTCTCCTGGGCGGGCAGGCTGCCGACGCGCGTCTCGTTGAACCGGGCCGCCAAGAACTCGCACTGCTCCTCGCGCGTTAGCGGGGTCAGGGCGACGCACGACCCGCCCAGCACGCCTTGCACAGGCGCTTGCACCTGCAAAGCAGTCGAACGTCACACAAACCGAAATGATGAGGGGAGGATGAATTAAATTTGTTCTCCTTACTTAAATCATTCAATAAGGTCAAGTACTTTTTTTGAAACTTTAGTAGTTTTCGCGCAATATTGTGTGAAACATGTACAATTTAAAATAATTACTAAAACAAGATTTTCTCGAAAACGAATCCAATTGTTTATCTTTTAACTAAGAGATAATGCTATAAGTACGCTGTGAGTTACCTAAATTCAACATTTGCCCTATTCATAAGTTTTTTCCAAAAATCACAAAATTTAATTTTTTGACAAGCTTTTCACGTCGTTAATTTTAATAAACAAACTTAAGGATGTAACAGTCTCATACCATATCGACTCCTATTAATCTATTACGTTAGAAGACGTTTGGTAAAGAAAATTTCCCTTGGGTCCGTTTTCTTCCAAGCGACCTGTAATGTAAGTAGGCAAGATGCCATCTCTCTCGGGTTATGTTTGCTTCTGCATGATATTCACCTCCGGTCTCGAAGACACCCACACGGGCGCCGCCTTCGTCTCCTGCAGCAGCAGCTGCAGCAGACGCAGCACCTTGTCCTTGAAGGCCGGGCACAGCTCGTCCACGGCGTCCACCATTACCCCCACCGCCCCAGTGCTTAACGCAGCCCGAAGACAACGCTCAGTCGCCACCGCGCTCGACCCCGCGCCCGCAGCCGCCGCCAGCAGCTCCTTCAGATGCTCCAACGTGACATCTTCCGAAGGAAACGACCATCGTAATGTAAAGAAAGGAAAACGTTAAAATATAATAAAGCAGATACATCATTCATCCATTTATGATACAGCATTGCAAACGGAGTTAAGAAGTTTAATGTGCAGCGAAAAACCAGACCATGTTAGTGAATAGACACATTCTATGGTAGACGATTCAGCTTGTCTATGATTTCTAAGAATTCTCTCTATTGCTTCATTATAACGTGAACTATGGAAGAGTGTATTTCTACGGAGAAAGCAGAAAGCATTACGGCCACAGACTCTGACCCCAGGAGGTGATCGTCATGAGTGGCTACGAGCGCGCCTGACTCGAGCACTTCGCTTATAAAGAACGGAAAACGTTAGCAAGACAGCCAACGCAGCTAAAAGTTGACCCATTGTGTCACACTTGAGTGACTTCTCCCGACAGCAATTATTTCGATATGCAGAAACCAAAGAGAAAGAAGACGCCTCATCATCATAGGTTGATTCACTGGTTTCATTACGAGCGTGACCTCTAGAAAAGATGGTAAAAATTAACAACACCGACAAAGCTGCTAAAATTTGATACACAGGGGCTAGCCCAAACCATATCATTTAAAGCAATAATTTATATTTGGAAAAACTAAAAATGAATTAGTAGTGCCAACATTGAAAGTTGATTCCCTTGGTCCCCCACGAGCGGTAATTATTTGAAGCTATCATATGAATTTGGAAGATCAAAAAACCTTATAAAGACACACACGATTGTTTCCAAAAATTGGAACAATTATTGTTTTCCAAAATTGTGGATATCAAAAATTCCAAGCAATTGACAATACTATAAAGACCAGTACCATCATTGTTACTTGATCTCCCTTGATTCTCTGCGCGAATAATTCAAAGAACATGGAAGAACAAAAAAGGAAATTTATTCGCATGTACTAGTTGACATTTGTACAAGGTCATCGTGAGCTGTGCTACCTGAGTGATTGTTTTGGGAGGTAGGGAGATCCGTCGGCCCCTAAAATGAGAATTGGTACCTGGAGCAGGCGGCATCTCCCGCAGCCGCTTCCGGTGCGCCTGCGCGTGCACGAAGAGGGTCCAGCGGGCGGGTGCGCGCCGCCGCGCCTCCGCCGCCGCCCGCAGCAGGAAGGAGGTCTTGCCCGCGCCGGGCCCGCCCACGAGCAGCGACGCGCGCCTGCCCCACGCGGCCACGTCGGCCGGCGCGCGAGGCGCGTCGTGCACGCACTTGGGCGCGCGCGCGCACGCGGGCGTCGCCGGCCGCACCAGCGGCGCCAGGGCGTCCCCGCGCCCCCGCGTGCGCCGCCACACCAGCGTCTGCAAAATGGCGGTTGCAGCTACAGCGAGCGATGCCACGCCAGCGCATGCAAAATGACGGCTGCATCTACAGCGAGCGCCGCCACGCCAGCATCTGCAAAATGGCAGTTGCATCTGCAGCGAGCGCCGCCATGCCTGCTCCTGCAAAATGGCAGATGCAAAGACATTCATCAACAGTCAGCGCCACATCAGCATCTGCAGAAGGCGATTGCAAAGAGGTTCATGTACAACGGGCTCCGCCAGACCAACATCCGTACAAGGCGATTGCAAAGAGTTTCATCTAAAGCCATTATGTGATGCTATAGGAAGCAGTGGTTGTGCTCAATGCCTTGTCTGGAAGACAAACTTTATTTCCTTACATGAATTTATACATAGTCAGTAAAGTATAAAGTTCTAGATTCTTGCCAAAACTTCATTTGTTGTCTTCCTATTTTCTTTCCGCAATTCAGTATCGATTTTGTCTTTTACTTCCAATAATTGTAAGTGCATCTACTAAGGTTTTTCTCGATTTCTTCTTTGTATACCAATGACAACCGATCAGAACAGACGTTACTTCTGCGTTAGCCGTCATTAGTTAGAAACTCATTGAACGAACATATTTGAAAGAACAAGAAAGTCAATTCTTTTCATTAATAAATACTTGCTACGCGGAAATGCATATTTGTGTTATTTTAGGCAAAAGGTTGAAAAAAAAAATATTTACACCAAAACACCACGCAAAATATATCGTATATGCAAAACATTCTTTATCTTATTTTCAATATTTTACCATAAAACATACACATTTCAAGTTTCAGGAAATTATGACCATTAACAAAAAACATACAACTGAATGAACTTCCCAGGTCTAGTGACGTCTTATGTCGAATAACCTAATATTGAAATTGCGTGATTAACCGACAATGAGGATTTTGAAGAATTTCGGTTTCAAATACGCGTTTCTGAGGCGGCCAAAAAGCGAAATTTTGCATCTCGTTTAAAGGCAATTTAGAAAAGGTAATAATATTTTTGCAAAATTTGAAAATTTATAAAATTTCCAATTTTTGAAATTCTAAAGCAAAAATTCTAAAGCCCTGATGTCCTAGAAGAGAAAACTGTGAATTAACAATTTTGCAATAATTAACAATTTTAATAACAATTCCAAAATCCTTGTGATTCCTGCATGGCAATGTCCCCAAATTTTCTTTGTGGTGACTGTTGAAAATAACCATTTTTACAAGAGATGCAAAATTATTGCTACTACCTACTTTATTTGTTGCTAAAATATTATATATGGACGTGATCTTCAAACGTTGCTGTTTTTGTTTTAAATGGTTCCCTATAAGTTATCTATTGGTTCCAAAAGTATACGATTTTGCCATTTTTGCAAATTTTATAACGATATGAACAATTGCAAACTTGCAATTATAATAGTATTGTTATCGATAAATCTATAGTGAACTGGATATTTGAAAACGGTCTTGGATTGTTTGTAAATAGTAGTATTAAAAGTAAACGTTATGAGAATCTAATTTCTCTAAAATTAGTGTTTTTTACCTCCTATCAACGTAATTTCTTCAAATCGAATTGTGTTAATAGTAGTTAAACGTGTATACGTGTTCAATGTATTTACTTCATGTTCATGAAGATGTTTCATTCTATGTATTTTTATTTGGAAATACTTCCAAATCTGAACTAGTCCGCCAATTTCTACGACGTAATGTTGCTAGGCCACTTCTCTCCCCTTTGAGATTGACTGCGGCTGTTTATGAGGCTCCGCCTACAAAGTTTCGTCATGATAGGGCTGTCCATGCTGTGGAAAGGCTGAACTTGCGCAAACGGCGCGATTAATTTTTCTTACCAGAACTGTGCATTAGCTCGAGTTTGGGCGATGTAATGCATTGTAAGCAGTTTTCTGTTTTGAAGCAGTAAGCAGTTTTCTGTTTTCTGTTCCATGATTCGAATTTATTGCTCTCTTTTTTGCTACAAAAAAATTATTATAACGTTTTGCATAGTTGTTTTTTATTCATAGCATTCATGCTGCGAGAAATAGATGTCATTTTTAATTACAAAGTAAAATTACAATATTTTGGAACAACTAATGTCTTTTTTGGTTCAAGTCGTTCAAATTTGATTAAAATTTCTTACGTAAATTCACAATTGGAAATCATGTATGAGCATGTCTGTAATCACTTATGATCTTTCAATTATAAATTTTCTCAGATCAATGGAAGAATTCTATTTCAATATCAAGGGAGAATGGTAAATTATTAAATAGTAACAATGAGTTGAGGGGGCCGGCGAAAATAGTATTATTATTAAATGAAATAAATAAAATTAAAAATGAACGCATGGTCTCACTATTGACATATTGTAACGTATTAGCCAGTATGCCTCGTGGCATCTCTTTGGGGACGCTTGGTAGAGGATTAGCCTCGCCACAGTAAGGAGAGAAGGGTTTTTCCGTAAAGGCAAGAACGCGGAAACAGGAGACACAAGGCTTTGGGGTCTTCCGGCCTTTAGAAACCTTTCACTGTTATAACAAGCGGAGGGGGCGTGGCATAGTAGGTCACGTCGGCCTCGCCTATATAACGGAGTGTACAGAGCCAGTGGGTGGGTTCTGGAGACAGTGGGAGAACCTCGTGCATGTGCACAAAACTTGGCGCCACGACGGTGCATATGCGAGCCAGGCTCGCGAGGCAAGGCACGAAGCCTGCGGAGGACTTTGTGTCCTTGGGTGACTGCGGTCACGGGGGAGCGATGCTGTGTGTGTGCTCCGATGTGAGGAGTGGTTGAGTGCCACGATTCACGCCGATTCTCAATAGGATAAGATCGCTCCCGCGATCAGGAGATAGTAGGTCTATCAGAGCTAAGGTGCAAGTAGGAAATTAAGTGTATATATTTGTTTTGTTTTCTTTGTTAATAAATATATTTGTTATATGAAAGCTCTGTGTCTGTGGTCGCTGTGAGTATCCAAGACGTCACAATATTAAAGAGGAAAAAGGGATATTTCGCAAAAACTAGCATATCGTCGGCAAGCTTACCAGTGCTGTCAGGTTTGCGTTGTCGTCATGGGGGCCCAAGCACTCCAGCCAATGGACGTTTTTCGAGCTTTGCTTGGAGCACAGGGCGCCAAAGGCCTTTTCCATCTTTGCAGGAGAATCGCTGTCCAATGTAGTCCACCTGCGACATTCACGCCACTTCTCTTACACACTGAAAATGTACGTTATGTAGAACGAACGGGAGATATCAAATTCAGCCAATTATGCCAACAAACACCAAGAGGGGAACGTGCTCTAATCTGGACTCCCCTCATGTAGCTGTCCCCGCTCTCCTGGCTCTACATTTTCCTAAACTATATCAAGTGTAAAAGTTTTCCATCTCTCAGTTGTTTTTTAATTTAATTTTGTTAAAAAATGTAAATTTCTCTTCTCTCAATTACTTAAGGTTTTATTTGAAAATGTATTATTTGAAGGTCTGTTTCCAACGGAGTGGAAATCCTCGTACATCGTACAGTTCTGGAAACAAAAATTAATCAGGGGCCGTCTGCAGCTAAGTTCCGCTTTTGCAGGGCCTGGGCAGCCCTAATTGTGACGAAAAGTCGCAGGCGGGGCCTCTCAAACCGCAGCAGCCAATCTTACCGTAGCGGAGTGTGACTTAACAAAATTAAGTCGTAGAAAATGGCAGATGTCCCTAGTTCAGATGTGGAAATACTTTCAGAAAAAATAAATGGAATGGAACAATATTTTAACATGAAAATAAATTTATTGAAATAAGTATATATGTGAAGTAAGTATATATGTATTTACCAGTTTTAACGCTATTAGTTTTGACCAAACTACATTTATAACGTATATAATAACACTAATTTTAGAACAATTAGATTCTCATACACATTATAATTTCAATATTATTGTTCTTAAACACCCCTTGAACTTTATCAAATGACCTGTTTTCTATAGGTTTTATAGATAACAAAAACTATCATAATTGCATATAAACAATTGTTCATATCTTTATAAAATTTTCAAATTTCAAAACTGTAATTCTCGAATGGGTAGAAGAGTTCTAGGGAACCATTTTAATAAAAATCAGCGAAATTCAAAGACAAAGTGTATATTTATTATTACTGTAACAATGACGCTAAATATTAAGCAATCAATTTGCATCTCTCGTCAAAATTGTTAACATGGGAGTAAATTTGAGTGAGTCCTTCGCAGAAATAACACACATTTCGTAATTGAGTATAAAACATTTAATTTTGAAAAAATATTAATTCGCTGTTTTCGGTTGTAACATTAGTATACCCTTCCCTGACAGAACCCCCGGCAGAACCTCCCCGCCGACAGAACAGAACATTACTGTCACTTCTGAAACCAGGTAACGAAGGTGGTTATCGGAAGTATGAAGCAATGGAGGACAAGTTTAAGTTAGTGCAATTTTATTGTACCAGTTTTAAAAGGAATCCTGCTTGGTGGCCGGGAGTAGTGATTGGATTCAAAGGCAACTAGATGTATGAGATCCAAGTATTGACCAAAATAGGACTGAGGCAGCAAGGGAAAAAAATGCGCCCGAGGTATACAATAGAGCCCGTAGATAGGGTGGGGAGGACTCAGTATGAGAGAAAAAAGAGATAGAGAGAGATAGAGAAATAGAGATAGCAAGATATATATATATATATATATATATATATATATATATATAGAGAGAGAGAGAGAGAGAGAGAGAGAGAGAGAGAGAGAGAGAGAGAGAGAGAGAGAGAGAGAGAGAGAGCAAAGGCGGTACCCCAAAGGCCCCAAAGGCCAATGGGAAACGAGCGGCCAGCGGGTGGAGCGGGTGGTGCGAGGCTATGCGGGGATCGGGAGTAAATCCGGGCACCGTCACCGGAGCACATTGGATACTGGTTTCAACCTGGCTTTGGGTTCGGACACTCTATTGGATTACCTATCGACTGCGCGACTGTTGGTACATCTCTTGGTATAACTTTTGGTATCTCTTGGTCTCTTTTTTTAGCTGCATTTCCGGACATTCTTCTAGTCGAAAGGGAGTATAACTGTAACAAATCTGCCTCTGAGTTGAATAAACCTTGGTAATCTTGTTACATTTTTTTCCTGGATACAACATAGATGTGCCATAAACAAATATTCTTAACAATCTAACAATATATGTCGTATAAACTCGCCGTTCTATCATCACTGCCAGCAGATTTTAAAATAACGTATTGTGCCATGCCTTCGTTTACATCTTCTACCAAATCAATTTTATTTATTTTCCTTTGAATGAAATAATGTGGTTCCTTGATGTGTTATCAGATTGTTTGTATTTATTCACTAGTATTTACGGTGTATCGATTTAAACAGACTCATTTGACTTAAATACGCTATTACGGTGTTATCTAATCATTAGCTTGAATGTCACTACAGTAACGTCACTGAAGTGACGTTCCATCTCCCGATTGGATGGCACCACAACAGCTCATTTACGTCAACACACCCTATACTTAAATCGAAGTATAGATATGAGTAAATCTATAGATGTAAGTCCTCGCCGCCTGATGCCGGTAATATTGTTTACAATTCGTCAAGTTTTTGTTTCAAAAGTAAAATTTGCTCTTTCATTCTGTTTTTGCATGTCCATGATGTATTTTGTAGAGACATTTGAGCATGTACAGAAAATCTTTCAACCAGTACACGCTGCGTTTCTTAAATGGAAAAATAATGTTTGCTAACTAGCAATGTGCCTAAAGAAATTAATCAGTTGTTGATGATGGCACATCGAAAAACTTCACAAATACTATTCGTCAATGGAATTTTTGTACTCTGTATTAGGTGCTGATATTGCCACCTGGTCATACAAGTGTTCAATTGTGTAAGTGTTTATCAAACATAATTGACATTGTGCTGCATAATATCTAATCATTGTGCCCTTAAAAGAGAATATCTGCCTAGATGGAAAAATAAGCTTTAAATAAGATACGTTTACTCTTTCTTCTTCCTATTTAAGAATTTGTTTGTGAACGTTAGTCTCGCCACAGTATTCTTCATTTATCTCAGATCTCCTCACTAATTTTCATTATTTTTCAAATGTTCATGCCTGATTGGATATGCTCTATAATTTCGTCCGGATACAGATTATAATTGATTTCTCGTATATTCATTGATTTCTGTATTACTAAAAAACAGCAAAAAGTATTGCATCTCTATTTACATTTTAATACCCATTTGATAAATATCAATGCAAATGTAATTTTTATATGTTAATTACAGGTTTCAATGCTGCTTGTAATTATATTGAAATTATTCACATTTAATTTAAAATCTTAATTGTAGTGTTATATCAAATTCATTGCCTAATTGATCTTTAGTGTATTAATTTAACCTTCAATTTTCCATTTCATAAGTTATTTTACCAATGAGCTATTAGTGTGAAAGTGTTGGTCGCTAGCTACCTACAGTTCACTACGGAAATAATTATATTCGTTTTCTTTAGATTCCATGGTTTCGTTCGGTCTCTTACAATTGATGAGTAAATATGGCCCCAAGAAATGCTGGGCCTCTCACTAATTTTCCATTTGACTGATTTTTCAGATCTAAGCGTTCAGAGGGGGAATTTTTCCAGCGTACGCGGTGCAGGGTTGTTAACTATTCCTCAAGGTTTTCCCTTGTAAAATCCTTAATCCAAAGAATACTAGCAAGAAAAAGCAAAAATAGTAAGTGAACTTACCTATCGTTCATTTCCTTGCACGACCAACCGATTTTGCGACCTAATTCCTCTAAAAGGGTTTGCGGGATGCCTTCGAGGGCGAGGTGGTCGTCAGGAAAGTCCATTCCCAACACGGCAGGGTCAAGTTCGCTCAAGTGCTGGACGTGGCGCGGGATGTAAAGGCGCTCCTCCGCCTCGTCGTCCCCGCCCATCAGCGGTAAGGGGACGCCCAGCGCCGCCTCGCCCAGCGCCACAGCGCCCAGCAGCGCGCCGTCCGCCTCCTCCCGCAGGCCGGGCCACGCCCCCTCCAGCTCGCGCAGCCTCACGGCCTGGCCCTGCGCAACGCCACGCTCCCTACCGCACCTGCTCGCTTTGCAGCCTCAGGGAGAGACAGATGGATTCCGCCTTTGCTAACCCTAGTAATAAGAGATAGCACTTTGTCTTTTCACTTCGATATCTCTCAAGGTATCGCCAGTGCTGTATCCAGAATTCACATTTTGGGCGACCTTCCTACCGAAAAATCGATTATCGGCAAAACGCCTGTCTGACCGTCTATCTGTGCAGAACGCTAGTGCATAAGCCGTTCAGGCGATTTTCTCCAAAACTGATGTTCCCCAATCATTCTAGCTGATGTCGTAAGCCCTGGGATTTAAAACCGATGTTTTAAATTGTGGGGTGCCTTGAACATTTCCAAAATTTTCGAAAAAATCCTCAATATTTTGATTAAATATTGTTGTTGGATAGTGCAAAGAACGTTTAAGTGAATAGTGCAGGTCTCATTTTCATTGATATCGCCATTGATATCCCCATATTTCATTGATATTGAGACAGATGTTTGTCTTAGACAAAGTCTGTTGCACAAAATTAGTTCTTCAAAAAAGTTAATTTACAATCGTAAAAAAGAGTAGTTTTGCGTATTTCGCGATTGATATTTACAAAAAGAAATTTTCTCAAAAACCACTCCAATTTTTTTCTTTAAAATTTGTTCACTTATGTAATACTAGTATATAGAAAATATAGTGCTTGGCCCATTTTCAGGTATCGCTCTTATTTTTTAAACTTTCGAAAAACACATTTTAAAACCACAAATTTGAAGATAGATATATTTGCCTTAGACAAAATCTGTTGATTAATAGTATCTCTTCACAAAAAGGTCATGTTCTTATTTTTTCAAACGTGTAGTTTTTTGCTAATTTTGCGATTGAAATTTACGATGCAATTTTCCAAATCCGCTCAATTTTTTTTCTTTAAATTTTCTCCACAAATGTAATAAGGAAAGACCTACATTTAAAAATTCATATCTGAAATTAAAACTTAAATAAATGCTGAATAACTCAGAAAGAAGGGCATTCAAAAATTTGAAAGTAATTTAAGAAAATAGTCAACATAATCCTTAAATTCATTTTCAAGACTATACTTTTAACATAGTCTTACAATAATGGGTGGAAACTACGGGTGACTATTGTTGAAGCATAAATAGGGTGATACACCTATTTTAATATCAACTAGTAAAAGGAGTCATTTTTTGTTGTCATAGATGATATTATTTTCAATAATTTTCTATAATTTCAGCGATTTTTTTTCTCTACCCGCAAAATAATGTCTTTGGAAAATGGTCTTCCATACTTTTTTTAAAATTTCATAACCTTTGTGGCGTCGAACGCACACTATCCCTTATTGGCTTTCCCTGGAGTAACCCTCCGTTACCATTATCAATTATTGGCGTAATCCTCCGTTACAAGCGCCCTCTAGGGGACGCTGAGTAGTCAAGTCACGGCCGTTCCAGTCAAGTCAGGGAATCGTCGACAGGTAGCGTCTCTGGGCTCGCGTGTCGCACGCGCCCTGCTACATCTACCCATCGGCCAGAATTGAGAGGAATTAAGGATAGGGTAAGGTTTATGACGCTTGACAGGGGTTGGATTAGCCTCTGTGAAGAAGGCAAACTCGTTTTGTCGTAACAAATTTCACATAAGAGCTCTACGGGGATTCTATGCTTTCACGGATTTTATGCTTTCTATTCACGAATTGGTTTTATATTCACGTAAACTACTTACTTGAAAAGACACGTTCCTTTCAAGAAGTTCATTTTGGGCGTTTAAAGTCAAATAAGAGAACTTCAACTCTTCTTGGTGCCTCGTGACATCAGGAAGTTCCAAATCCACTTTCCCGAGGCTAACGATTTTCACGGCGGTGGCGACCGACAGCAGCAAATTGTTCAGTTTCTTGGAAAGATGATCAACATCCACTACGAGTACCTGGCAGAAAGAGAGCAACAACGTCTATTAGCTGACGAAATAAGATATACATTATTTGTATCAACATCTGGGTGGGTTCTGTTGGGACGGGTTGCAGATCATTGCAATTACCGTTTTTTCTCCCATTGATTCTGAAACATAGTCACAGGTGTTTCTAAATCCATAAATAATTATTTTCCCGATAGGAATTTCATTTTTAGCAGCATTTAAAGCTCCCGCTTCGGGGTGTCCAACCGTGTCACTAAACCAAGCTGCCGAACGAAAACTCATCCATTGTTTGTGCGCGCGTTTAATACGATAGATGGGGGCACGGCATGTGATCAGCGTATTACTCGCGCAACTTTTCTTGAACGATGACCTTGATCCCCCTCCCTTGTGCAATAAACAGTTGAAGGCAAAAGCTCGCAGCGGGCACTGATGACAATCTTCCAAGCATTAAAACTTCGTTGGCGCGAAACAGAAGCTAGTCAAAGCCAGTTGCTTTCAGAGTGCAGATCCCCTGTTCAGATTTATTGTCAATATCGAAAGACATGACTGAGTCAGGTCCAGGTCCTTCAAGAGAGTCACCTAAAACTCCCAAAAAAGTTAAGCCCAAGATGCAGTTTTGATTTTCATTTCACACACGTTGGCATTACTGAAAATAATCTAGTGGCCAACTTTGTAACTAATACCCCCACTTCACCCGAAATCGCCAATCCATCGTTCAAGAAAAGTTGCCCGAGTAATACAATATACTTAGCTTACAATCCAACATATCACGTTCCGAATATAAGAAGAGCTTGTTTGTTTAATTTGCGGTAACACTGTTTCTTTTGTTGTCCCTGGGTTAGTCATCTGGGCTAATGATGTGTTAAAAAAATGTATTTTAAAAATATTTTAACCTATCGTCATTAGAGTAAATTAAAAATAGTTTGCTTTATCAATATCAAAGTGGCAAAGTTGTGAAATTGCGAAGGTAAAACACACGTGAATTTGGAAAGTGTCAGCTCGTTGACTCAAGGGCAACGTGAACATTTAAAAGGGATTATTTACTCACGTATTTAGAAAAAACAATGTTCCAGAAATAAATGTCCGATAATTCAGATCCTCAAATTAGATGGATTGTTTAACTAGCATGCAAATTTCTCGTAGTTGCTCCATATATGAATTAGTCATGTGTAGAATAACATAAGATGTGTAACTACGTTTTCTGTATAGTGTGACCACCCATTTTCATACCTAAAAGGAAAAACGTGGCTCATTCCTCTTCCCACACAAGAAAGAAACGTAAGTTTGAAAGACGCGCGCCTAGAGAAGCCCAGTAACAAAATAGTACGGTAGTGCCGCGGATAGGCGATAAAACTTCCAGCACTAGCGAAAACGTTCTTTCATTACGAATCAACCGAACGCACAAGTCGTGTTCAGTAATATAGCAAGTCGACAAAACTGTGCATCAAATACCCGGACGAATTACTGAAACTCTTCGCATACATTCATAAGAGATAAATAAACTTGTTTATCTATAAATCTGAAGATATAACAAATATGTAAAAGTAAACGTGTGTAGTGAAAATTTAACTTTACAATTTGAAATCAGAGAGCACGTGCATTAAACATTGGTATAATTTATAAGTGGTTGTTCTTTTTTCAGTTTCTTTGTATAATTATAGAACTAGATATTCCATTACAACGTTACTTTGGTCAATTTCACTTCTCTTTTGCTTATAACGAGATTGGGAAAGGAAATACTTGGATATGTGAGACAGCGTGGAGCAGTGAGCTACCCACCCGCGTACTTCAAGGAACTTGGGCACCCACAACTGGATGCGAGGCGATTTGAAGGTCATGGGTAGGACGCAAGAACAGCCACAAAACCCTGGCGATTGAATATAACCGACGTCTCGTTATTTCGCGTTCGAATTCAAGTAAAAACGAACCCGTGATGATTTCTTTATCATTTGAAACCAAATTAAGGCCGAGTAATGCAATAATCAGATTAGAAAGGAGTTATAACCGTTTACAAATTAATTCAGAATAATTAATCAATCATTCTTCCTCAATGTGAATATGACATTCAAGTAATGTATTATTTCATGGTATCATTGTAAAGGTCAGAATAAAAAGTAGATAATGAAAGCGTGTATAGTAAATGTTAGTATGTTAGAATTATTTTTCTTCCAGGAAGATTTAATTTAAATGTGTGTGTGTGTGTGTGTGTATTCTGTGTTTGCAAATGGGACAGAAGGAGTGAAAAGGGATTATAGTATATTTTGTTTAAAGCCTAACTCGTTTGATTTAAATGTTTATGTGAATCCCATGAGTGCAGTTAAACCACAGCCCTGAAACCCAGAAATATTTTTATGTACTTATTTAAACATATAGTCAACTGTCCCACTGACTGCAGCATATTGAGCTAGCACATTGAAGGGTGAAATTAACTCTCACTCCGACGGTTGGTCATATGCCTGCCAGTCCAACGTGGGGCTATATCTGCAACCCCAACGTGGTTATAATAGTAAGTAGTGAACAAAAAACGGTATTTTTTATGAGTCTACCCGGCAGTGGCGGGCACAGCAAACGGCCTTGAGCGCCTTGGCGTCGCACTGGCTGAGGACGTGGCCGTTCACGTACACCCACGCGCCCTGGTGCTCGGCGTCCAGGAGGCCCAGCAGCTTGGCGGCCCGCGCGCCCGCGGCCACGCCCGCCACCTGCACACACACACACCCGCTTTCATCCGCGAGGTCAAAAAGCGGGCAAAATCCACAGCCACGCACTTCGCCTCTCGGTGCGTCTGTGCGTTCGGGTAAAAGAGAACAAGATCCAAAGAGATAAATGTTTGGCTTTCTCACACTTGGATGATAACGTACCTGCAGGGCTAGGGCGCCTTCCCTTTGCAGAGCTTCCCGCAGGGGTCCCCAGTGCGAGTCCTGAAACTGCAGGAGCTCCAGGGCACACGCCTTCCGCGCCAGTCCCCGCAGGTGCTCCGCCAGGTACCACTCCACCTCGGCCGAGTCCTCCGTCAGGCAGAAGTCCTTTGCGTCGTCCCGCATCCACTCCTTGAGGAAGTCCAGGAAGTGGAAGGTGAGCAGGTCGAGCTGCAGGAGGGGGTCGCCCAACAAGGTCTTGATTTCGCGCTTGATTGAACTGTCAAGGTGGCCGGACTCTGTCTGCTCGCAATATATGAGCAGCTTTGGGAGGAATTCATTTTGATAGATAGCTTCATTAGCATCCCCTTTCAGTAAGTTCCATACCTAAAAAAAACAGTTAGGTAGTACATCACTAAATATTTTTTGTTAGAAAATACGAGCATCTTATGTTCGTTACTGGACATGCGCTATTTCAAAATATTTGTTCCAGACGATGTATCTTCTGAACTCAATGGCGTGATCTGCAGCAACACAACGGCGGCGCCTTTTCTTCTATTCTACTATTCCAAATATCCCTAATGTGATCCGTTGATTACTTATTGGATGTGATCTGCGGTGTAGCATGGCTTTATTACCAAAGAAAGCTGTCGTTTTAAGCTGTGCGTCGCGTATGTGTCATGATCCATGGGTCCGACATAATTCACTATGTACAATTTTCTAGTTTGTATGTAGTACACGGAATTTGACAATAAGTTTTAAATCTGGCGCGCTCTATGACTGACGTTTCTGTCAACGAACAGGGTTCTCTCGGTTCCTCTCTAATGTGTGAATCATAAGTTGTACCGTTCGTGCATGCCAGTCTTGGCATTCATGTTTGAGGTGAGTTTTCAACTCGCATTCAAATACGCATATTTACTTTGCACAAGTGTTCAATGAGAAACATCACTTCTCCCAGTTTTTGACATTACACTTAACATAATAGATAATCATAAACCAAACTAATCACCAAATTAATGACGTGAAAGAAAAATGTAAAGAATACACAGGAACATGAGATAATATACAGTCAAACTACTTACCGCGCTTGCCAGTAATTAAAATTTCATATCTCGAGGCTTATTTGAGCAAAACTTCCGCAATTGACATTTTCTGCTGGGTTTGGATCATTCACTTAAGTACTGCGGTACCCATTACACTGTTATATATATTCAAGTTTCTAAACCACAAATTATCAGAAAGCTCGTAGAGAACACTGACCTTTACAATTCATTTGGTATGTCAGCGACCAACTTGTAGTAACAGCGCAAAATTTAATATCTCAACTATTTCAAAACATAAATATTGGACTTTCAAATTAAATCGTAAAGAGGCCCTTCAATTACATCCATGGATGCTACGCCCCTGGAAGTTATTGTTTAGTTAGAATTGACCTAACTAATCATGATATTTCCCCTCCTTTGCTTCTTGCTTTGGATTTTGGCATGTGCCACTTTTACTTTCTTACAAAAATGTGCAAATAACGATTTTAAAGTGGCAATTGATGTTCATTAAACTTTACTAGAACCTTATTCACATAAACATACAAAGTAGTCGCTTTTTAATGTTCGATTTGCATGCAACGCTGGATTTGCATACAAAACAATTTATAGAGCAATTGCAGAAGTAGAAGTGAACTAAAATTAGAAAGGTTCAAAATATTAAAAAAATTGTAAAGAACTTGTACGTTTTCTAGCCAAATTTTTGAAAGACTTTGTAATGTGTAACATTCCAAGAAATTTAATAGTATTTTGTTCAGTTTTCAGGTTCCCTTCCTCGTCCATATTCGAACTAAAAGACGATTTGTTCGTAAAATATTGTTAATGAGAAATTTTTAAAAATGGATTACAACTGTAATCCACGCGTACCAATTTTGAGGGCGACCAATAAAGGGTGAACTGAGAAACTTGTTCCTGAACTTAATTGCTTATAACCTAAAACGGGAGAACGGCCTACCACAAGCATTTATTGTACGTCATATTATGATATTCCACAGAGCAGAGATTGGTCTAAGTGCTTGGGGTGCGAAAGTTTTCTTCCCCGACAGTGGGAGTGCAGTTACTGCGGGCGGTCACGGAAGACCGCTAAAATGCCGATTATGGGCATCCAGGACTGGGAAAGGGAAATGTGGAAGAAAGCTACGATCAAAATAGAAGGAAACTCACTTCAGGACGAAAAAAGTTTTTTTTTAGTACACTTTTTCTCCGAAATTCGTTTCAAGTTTATAATGTCACGAGCGATTTTTTGGTCGCCATAGAGCAGCAAAAACAAATTTTAGCGTAATAGTCCTAGCCTTCTGTCATTTTGGGTCAACTCACAGACGCATTCGTTAGCTACTTAAGTGTCAACAATGTCGTGCTCATTGTGAACACTCTAGAGCCATTGTTCGCCAATGAAAATAAATCATTGTGCATTATTTCTTCCGTCCTGTCACTTTGTATGAACCGAAATACGCAATCTTTAGCTGCTCCAGTGCCAATAATTTAGTGTAGAATCTCGTGAATGCGTTTCAGGCCCTGCAGGCAAGCGAAAACAAATTACAGAGCAATGCCTCCTACCTTTCTGTCGTTCTGAGTGAATCGAATGACGCAGTCGTGAGTTTCCCCGGTGTCCAGAATTTCGCGCGCCATCTTGTGGACGTCCTCGTCGTCGGCAGAGCAAGTCGAAGCTCTCATCCAGCGCTTTTGCGTGGTGAAGATGACGAAGCGGCAGTGCTCCATCGGCCCCTCGCACAGGAGGCGTTGCCCGTCATCCAGAGCCTCCTGCGGATTCAGCTTCTTCTGGTGCCAGTCACGCAGCTTCAGGAAGAACTCGAAGTATTTCTTCAAATGGAAGTTCTTACTCGACGTGAAAGTCTGCGAAAATGAATGAATCTAGATGAACGAGCGGTACATACATATTTTATATGTCAACAGTGCAAAAATAAAATAGTGGTGCTACAAGAGCATTAACTTTCTCAAATTGACAACACTCACATACTGATGTAATATTTCAACTTGTATCCTTATAAAACGTTAATCATCAATTGGAAAACTCCTATCTAGACGCACGAGAGAGTTACAAAGAAAATAGGTATATTTAATGTTTTAATAATTCAAAGTTTAATTGAAACATACGCCATGCAAATATATCAATATATAATGCTAATTTATTATAAACTAGAGATATTATCACTGCACATACTTTCTCTCATTATTGGAAATAGTTACAAAATATTGAAATATTGCAATTTTAGCCATATTAAAAACCTAGGTTATCTCTTAAAAAAGTCAGGTTCACGCAATTTAAATCAAGCTCATGTGGGGAACTTGATTGTTACATCAAATGATGGTTGTAATATTAAATGTGATATATTATTTCATTGTTACGTCATCTTTATCTACACCAGCACCTACATTACGTAATATTTGTTGTGGAAATTTTAATTGAGGTACCAACAGATTTGGCGACTTAAATAATGATTCAGTCTCAGTCAAAATTCAGTAACATCTTTCTAACCCTCGTCCTATTGAAGCAAGCGCTCCTCAAGGCTCCCCTCTTTCTCCAACTCTCTTCAATGTTTTCACTTTTTCTCCCAATTTGCAGACGACACTTCCCTCTTTATTTACAGCCCCGAATTACACACACAGACGACCGAATTTAGAGACACGTGCACCAAATCAAACAACGGACTACCAAATGAAGAATCATGCTCAATACCTCAAAATCGCTCTCCGACACCCTTACCATTTTCATTCACTCCTGCTAAACAATTCTCCCCTTTCTTGGCCCGTCCTTCCGTTTCCAACAGAAACTTCATCAACTCTGAATCATTATAAATCGTAAAAGTAGCCTCAGACCCTGAAAATGTAGTGTTTCTATACAATCAATTCCCGACCACTTCTCCTTTACGCATGCCCGCATGGTGTCATTCAGCATCCCAATCAGGTGTCAATAAGATCCAAGTCTTCGAAATCAAACTCCTGCGCATTGGAACCAAAGCCCCATGGTTTGTCAGAAACGCAACTCGCCATTTCAATTTCAACTTAAAACCAATAAAAGAGTAAATAATTCACACACCCCACTATTTTATCTTCAGCCTACCTGATATAACCGGTCCATCCTTTTAAGACCCCGGTATAGATAACTCTCTCTTCCTGAGAATAAAAACAGATATCCCCTTCTTTCTTTTTAAACTTCTTTTCCACATTTGAATAGAAATAAATAACTTCAATATTTAATATCATCTCCGAGTGTCGTCTGTCGGTGACCGACAAATTTCCCCACTATTGTGGGGAAATCGCCAGAAGTCACCACTTTTCTGTAAAGCCTAAGGTTGAAAGATGTAAATTCGGTCAAAAATAACTGAATTAATATGAAAAATTGAGAGAGACAGAGATATCGCACTTGAAATAACACGTTATGGGAGAGGAAGTTATGAGATAATCGTGGTCGTGCAACCTAGTTATCTGCTTTTAGCGACTTCAATGCATTTAAACTCTGTATAGACTCTATTTTTAATATTTTATTATTTTTATTTTAAATATTTATATATTGTAATAATGTTATAACTCAAAATGTATCTCCTCAGCGTACCTCAATGCGTGAATGTTTTGAGATAAAAATATTGAAAAATTAAAGTTATGTGGTTTATTTATCTAAATCAGAGCCCTACGCATCTCAACTCGCAATAAATGAGAGAATTTGTAATAAAAGCAAGTGGTGATACAGAATGGCTCAGACCATTCCGTATTAGTTTTCTATTTGCTTTGGTCTTGGCTAGCTATACGAACATGCCACATATTCTTGCCAGCTGCCGTCTATCACCGCCAAAAGTACATTTTTTGACATTTTCTTAACTTTTCGGTTTTCTAATAGTAGATCGGAAATATTATTTTAAGGATATTAAAGAACAGAAAAACCTCGTCTTATATGGTAATTTCCTCTGAAAAGTTTGGAGCCGTTTTAAGAAAATGGCGCTTAAGCGCTTCTGTAATTCGAAATTCGAAGCTATTTTTCACAGACAAGTTATGAGTTTTCGAAAAACTTCATTTGAAACCATTTGAAACAATTAACTCACAAATAAAGTAGTGTTTACAAATTGATGCAGATTTGTATATTAATGGCGTGAGAGATATTTTAAAAAATTCATTAGAGTAATTTCTGAAAAAAAAAGAATTCTCCGAAATAAACTTCACTTCATATTAAATAGTGCAATTACCACCATCCGTTCGAAATGTTTGATGAAAAAATTCAGTCATTTTTGAAAAAATTACGTTTGAGCGTTTCTGAAAAGGCAGAATTGTGAGCTAGTTTTCACAGAAAACGTCAAGTTTTCGAGAACCTTTATATGACATTAATTAAATCACAAGTACTCATAAATATAATAATGTGAACAAATTGGACCTACTATAAATATTAACGTTAGGTACAAGTAAATAATTTAAATTTGTGGACTTTTTGGAAAAAAAGAATATAACAGTATCATGTCTTCTGAAGAGTACATTTAGCACTAGTCCAACCAAAAGTCCAAAGAAAAAACTTAGAACCGTTTTTGAAAATATCTTGTTTCGTATATTTTTTTAAATTACTCATATTGCTCGTAATATTGCGCAAAAACTACTATTTTTTTCAAAAAATACACCTGACCTTAATGAAAGAACCAATAACAGACAACAAATTCAATTTCAAGGAAAACTCTCTACCTAAATTTTGTAGTTGCAGGAAGACGCCGAAAAAATCATACATTTGAAATTTTCGAAAATTTAGAGTTAACCATAAACTCGGCCCTTTGCCACTTTTATAAGTGTATATAACTCTTTTCTTACAAGAAATTTAAAGAAAAAAATTGGACCTGTTTTGGGGAAATGTTGAAAATGTCACGCGGCTTCTAGTAAAGTTCCCCATAGTTTTAAAAAAGGTGTTTCAAATAGCCAATGCTACGACTCGAGCCAAATAGACAGGGGTTTCTTCAATTTGTAACAATTCTACGCATGATTTAGGAGCTAGTAGTGTTCACCGACGGACAGAAGGACGTTTAGCCGTTAATTCATTTTTCGGGATTAAGGACTCTCAATACAGGAATTCTGGCCACTACACGATATAAGGATATTTCATTACTTATCTTCAGCAACCGCATTTTTCCATTTATTATTAATACGGCACAGCAATGAATGTCTTTATCGAAAGTTCTTTCTCGCTCAGCATTGCTTAATTACATTGCGAATTACAGAGGAATAGGAGTAAGAGTCGTGAATTAATTTTTTTAATATTAAAGGCTGAAATTCGAGTTACAGAAATATTTGAGTTACATGAAAGTACGTTATTGAGGAATGCAATTTAAAGAGTTATCAAATAATGCCAATGAACGTGATTTTCAGTTTCCCTAAGTTATACATTGAGGCGGCACTCGTACCTTGAGGGAGAGCGGCCTGGTGCCGGTGTGTTTGAGCTGCAGGAAGTACGTGGCGGGCGGGATGCGCAGCACCACGTCGTCGAACGGGAGCGCGACAGCCACGTTGGAGAAGACCTGGAAGCGCGCGCCCAGCCGGCGCGACCGCAGCGCCGCCAGCCCCGCCACCTTCCGCTCGAAGTCCACGCCCTCGGCCGTGGCGCCGCCCTCCAGGCGCTCCAGGCGCGCGCTGGGCGGCGCCGGCGGAGGCAGCGGCCGTGGCGCCTCTGCCCTGCCACGCCAAGAAAAACACTCATCCCATTGGCCACAGAATCAGTTCTCTAATAGACAGTGGCGCCGCCAGCCCCGCCACCTTCCGCTCGAAGTCCACGCCCTCCGCCGTGGCGCCGCCCTCCAGGCGCTCCAGGCGCGCGCTGAGCGGCGCCGGCGGCGGCTGCGGCTGTTGCGTCGCTGCCCTGCCACGCCAAGAAAAACACTCATCCCATTGGCACAGAATCAGTTCTCTAATAGACAGTAGCACCGCCAGCCCCGCCACCTTCCGCTCGAAGTCCAGGCGCTCTAAAGGATGACTGTTTCCATTTTTTTTATAATAATGATGATAATTCCAAATGTCATATTCGCTAAGGATTATGTTTTATATTAATAGTAAATGGTTCAGTCTCTTACTACTCTCTTAAATCTAAGAGGTGGCTACTAGTTGTTTTGCTCTTTTCTCTTGTGGTTTTGACCGCCGCATGATATAGAGTACATGATTTTATTTTAGCATTATTAATGTTTCTTTATTGAAATAGAAAGTAAGCATAAGAAGTACAAACTCTTTAAAGTACACACAAACTCTGTAAAGTGAAAAAAACGAACCAGTCCAGTTCAAATCAGTTTGATTAAACATCGTCTGTCATGGTGCCAAGTAGTTAATTACAGTAGCTACTGAAACAATTGTTAATTTGCAAGAGCAGTTTCCGCATTCTTGAGGCAAACCATTTAAATGAGAAGTTCGTCATATTGGCCACTGATAAATAGTTAGTTGTGGAACACAGCCATATTATTATTCACAATTTTGTAAGTCAGATTGGATTCTGAGTGCCTCAAATGATTACATTACTGAATGCATATGATAGTGTCGAAGATATATTGGAAGAAGAAAATTGTACAACTGGTGTCAACACATATCCTACGTCAGAATTTGCGTGCGATACTTCAGAAAATGATGGTGAGAGAGATAATGTTCAGTCAAAAGACAAAACAATTATTTGGAGTGTAGAACCCATTCCTCAACATGATGATATATCCTCATAAATTATTGCTCCGGCACTCATCTGGTATTGATCATAAGTAATACCACCAGTGCTTCGGAATTTTTTAAACAGAGTTTCAAAATGTGCCAAATATTAATATTATTTGAATGTACTTTTGTTCAATTACCTTTTATATTTTGCTATTTCTACCATGTCCATCTCGTACACATTTTTTTAAGTTAAATGTTGAAGGTACTTCTTTTTCATGCACAGTCGTATTGAATTCTGAAACAGATGTGTTTGATGATGAATGTGTCTGTCTTAATTTATTTATGATTACCGAATGGTGTTGTTCATTTTCAGGTAGGTCTTCAGGGATGATGTAGAAGCATCGTCTCCTATATTATTTCAGTATGTAGTATACATACCTTTTGTGGCTCTCACACGCAACTAATTTTTATAAATGAGGTTCTTAAGAAACAAAATTTCACAGATGCGTTATGAATTGCACTTTGTTTTAAAAAATATGAAGAATGTGTATACAAACCGCATGTAAATACTCATGTTAGATATACTTTCTATTCTTCTCCGTGTTTTCTGAAGTTTCACGAACGGTTTCATTAATTTGGTCGCCATACTCGTCACCGAATCTCGCCATGTTATCATTACGCTTTGCAGTCTCACCGGTAGCACATGATTTGTGACCGGCGAGTGCGAAAAATCATATAAGCCCCTCTCATTTCTCCCGTACTAGGAAGAATTTAGTTATAAAGAACCAAGCAGCGGCCAGAAGCCTCCTATGACCAATGCCCTGTTGCCAAATCCTAGGCTGTTGCCACTACTCGGTTATCCCCTCCGAATAACGATAACAAAAAGCACACTGTCGGCCTGGGTAGCCAATGTCGCTGAGACTGAAGGGCCGTAGCTGCTTCGGCTCAAAGGGAGGCCAGTTCGAATACCGCCTCGGGTATCGATGTAAAATAGGTGTGTGGATGGAATGGATGTTACACTGTTGAAAGAAGTCGTTTTTCAGGTTCAGATATTTTTACATAGATTTTATTGTGATATTTTATAATTACATTTCTTGAAGCATCACTGGTTTCTATGTGGTATCTGCCAATACTCATACCCACGGATATGGCTATTCTCGGGTATGGATGTGATGAGGTTTGAATAATTTCCGGCGTTTTCCTAACATTACAAAATTAAAGATAAAGATTTTTCCTTCAAATAAAATTTGTTCTCCATAGTAAGTTCTCAAAGTCAAAAACGACTCTATTTTTGTTCTTTTGCTAGTGATAGGTTAAATTCACTCTATAAGATGACATAAACGCTTGCTTTTGTAACGTTCCTACTATAGATGAATTATTTCAATAACGTTGTTTATTTCAATACCTTGCTATGCTCGTAAATAACTAAATCGATGGCAATTCAATGAATTATCTTTTGGAATTGAATGGCCTTTTCTTTTCGAACAACAATTAATATTTATTGCAAAATTCCTATGACATATTTTGAGCTCTTTATTAAGAATAAGGTTTTATGGCCTTAAAACATCTCTAAACCGTACGGTTTTCATAAATGTTCGTAAGCTTACGGAATGTTTTTCTCGGTCGATGTGACGCCGTCGTCTCCTGAAGAAGGCGATGCTCTGGGTGCTCCTGTGTTGTGGTTCATGGGCCTATCATCCGTGTAGATTTTAAATGCTTCCAGACTGTTGCTAATTATTCAATCACCTTTAGGATATTCCTAAATTTGCTTCAATGTCGCGGCGCGACTTCCTCTTATTGGGTTTTGAGTGCAACCCTTATTCGCGACTACTATTTCTTTTCAAATTAATGATTTATAATTTCCGTCTACGAGATTATCCTCACGTACACTCACGAACACGAAATATCAATATTTAAAATGCAAAAATTCACATATTACAACGAATGTTAACTATCATTCAAACTGCAAACATTTACCGTCTAAACCGAAATACTCAATACTGCTTAGCCTATACTAATTATGAAATACTTAATCTAACATTTACTCACAACACAAGTTTACTACGACAAAATTACTATGTTGCAATGTTCATTACCATTTAATCGATTCAGCTGCTTCCGTGGGAGCGAGAATTTCTCTTCGCCTGACCTAGATTTTCAACGTCCTCTCCTCATCAATTCCATGTCAAAGACACCAGACCGTGCCGTGCCTCGACAATACTATTCGTGTTTCTTGCATCCAGCACGGCACGCCTACAGAGCCGTTGCTATGCTGCGCGTATTCCCTCGATTCTAACATTCTCAAGATATCAAAATTCCGTCGTACATGTACGCTTGATGTGATTCTCCTATTACACCCGTGTGCCATTTGGGTATGTCACAATTTATTGTTTTGTTTTCTAAAAAATACAAAAATGTAATTTATATTACTTATCTCTCGCTTCGTTAATATTTACATTAGCGGAAATGGGTTCACATTACTTTATTTATCAGTATAAGTGCTTAAAATAATGTCAGATTAAGTTCCTTGAAAACTCAAGAGTTTTATGTTGTAATTCCGAATTTTCAAGAACTCTCAAACGCCATTTTTTCAAAAACGTCTCCCAATTTTTTCTACAAACTTTTCCAACATTGCAAATTCTACTCTTTAATAAGTTAAGAATTCTACTCTTAAAAAGTTAATTTTGCTTCATTTTTTGTTTTTTCAAAATATATACAAATGTAATTTTTTTAGATATCTCTCACACCTTTATGATTCACATTTCCAGCCATTTGTAAGCACTATTGTGTTTGTGACTTGAAGTGGTTGAAATGACGTCATATGAAGTTTTTCGAAAACTCAACAATTTTCTGTAAAAAGAGGTTCAAATGTCGCACTCATGGTAACGCTTAAAAACCATTTTCTTAAAAAACGGATTCAAATTTTTAGTGAAAATTTCATATATGACGAGGTTTTGCTCTTCTTTCATATTTTTAATTTCTCGCACTTACTAACCTAAGAAGAGAAAGTGTTCAAATCGTGTGTCGGAAAACAGCGATTTTTTGACACAATACTTATTGCCGAGCCCTGATAAGGAAAAAGTGTATAAGACTAGTTGCTAAGTATAAAAAAAATCCTCTAATACGTGGAGCAACCAGAGTTCATGTTTTGTGGCTCATTGGTACCGAAAAGTCTATCGACGGCAAAAAGTCTATCAGTCCGTCCGTTTGTGCACAACGCTAGCGCATAAACCCTTCTGACGATTTTCTCCTAAATTGATATTCCCCAATCGTTGTGGCTGATGTCGCGGCCCCTAGAACTTGAAACCGAAATTTTAATTTAGGAAGATATTTTATATGAACCTAAGGGGCGAATGGTGTGCGTGATGAATATTTCTGTGAAGAATCTAGTAGTCCGTGGGCCCCACCTCTTCTTGAATTGCACGTTTTCTAGTGACGTTCTTTCCAATTTCGTCTTCGTGGTGAATAATTCAGTTTTTGCTCTCACCGGAAGATGCAAATCAGGTATCCAGCAATACTTGGAAATGCCTCCTGTGCCACGGGTTCTCGCGAATTTGTATGGGTTTTGGAACTGCAGTCGTAAATCAGCTAAAACTTGGTTTCTTAAAGTAATACAATTCCCTCCATCATTGGAGTAGGTGGTTGGAATTATGGCATACAAAATAGAGAATTGAAGAAAGTATATAAAACGAAGAACGAAAACCAAAAAAAGGATGTGAAAGAGAAAAATGTAGTATGAGCGTGATTCATTCCGTGCCTTCACATCATAAATCCCATACATTTTCTTCTCAAAATGCCACGAATAATTTATCACAAGGAACAATACTGAAGACAGAATAATTTCCTACTACCTTTCTAGTGTGGTTTTATAACCTATTTAAATATACTCCAGATCTTTTGTTTCCTCCGTTAAGGAAAGCGTTCTGATCTTCCAGCTGCCTCTAATGAAATGGGGGCGATGAACTCTAGTGGAACTTTAAAGCAATGCGTTCAGGTCGATCTATATATCAATCCTACTGGTGTTTTCATTACTACGCACAGTGCT